AGAGTATACAGAATGAGAGAATTTAGTTTGAATAAAAATAGAAGTGGGGATTGTATTGTCATTATACATATAAGTTTATTGTCGCTTTTTATTTTGTGAGGTATTATTTACATTTCAAACTGTTTAAATCTTGTTTCAGATGTTGTATTGTACTATGTTTTATTGATAATGAACACCAAACATGAAAAAGTTCAGTCTATCGCCTGGATTCTATTGCCAATTCTTCTTTTCCTGATACTGGTTTTTATAACTATTTTCGTGAACCATGCTATCGGGTTTTTGCTTATATTGCCCTGCCTTGTACTGTGCCATCATTCAATAAGGTACACTTGGACTCAACTCTGCGGACGATCGCAAAAGAAAACTACAGCATATAAGACATCAGACACCGATAATGTTACGGTACCTATTGACACATTCGACCGAAATTCCGATTATTACGTAACAGAAATCTCTATTAACGCTTCAGTAAACACTGCATCGTCTCCATCTATTAGTTCAAGGATTGATTCGGTTATAATCGCCAATGACAACGACTTACCACCGTCTTATGAAGAGGTACAAGAGCACGATCGACTCCTTTGCATTGGAGCTACAGACGTTTAGAGTATCAATATGGAAAACCAGATTACTCACTGGTGATTGGAAGAATAGCTTGCGTTGTTGGATTCAAAATGCTGATATCAATAAATGACCTCTGAACTTTATCTCAGAGAGAAATAAACGGGTATACAAGCAAGTCAATGCATTACAGAGGGCCATTCATAAACCACACATAATTGCATACATGTTATTAATAATAAACGCGAACGTATAAAGCAATAAACAACAAGTAAAAACAGTTACAGTATATCTGTGTTTATCTTAAGTGCGATAAGTTGCATCAAGGAAAAGAATCAAGCATTAATTGAGGTGTATTTTCAATAGTCAATATTGGGGGCTCCCGAAGTATGCGAACCAAGATGGCGGACATCGGAATGTAATATGTGTACTAGGTTAGGGTTAGGCCATAATTTTAGGTATAAATACTACGGGAGGCTCTTGGCTAGTCTTCGAACTGATAATAGGACTAAAATAAGGAAAATTGAAAAAAAATTATGGCCTAACCCTAACCTGTTACCCATGTTACGTTCCGATGTCCGCCATCTTGGTTCGCATACTTCGGGAGCACCCAATATTGTAGGTGCCAAACCTTGTTAATGAAACTTTACAGCAAAAACGTTTATATATTAGATACATGAAGTATTTTACCTTTTTTGTTCAGTTACCAATTTCGAAGCATGAAGGCCCAATGTGACTAAAACAGGAGATTGTTTCTAAAATGTGCCAGCTTTATTGCCAAATACTTCATAACTCTATTTGATTAATTTCAGAGCTTAATCTAATTTTCATAAGTACCGCTTGTGATTTTTCATGCCTATTATTTGATTGCATAAAATATTACCTTTTGAATGTTTATATAATTGAAAACTCGTCGTTCTGAGACGTTTGTTTTTATAGTAAGGTTCTGAATTCATTTTATCTGCTTTTTCTTGAAATATCAGTACAGAGGGTATCAAATCTTAGAAAGTGAACATTCAAAAATATAAAAAATTTGCCAAAATAGGAATTTTTCTTTCTGAAATATACTATATAAATATATATTCATCTCCGATTCATAAGCAATATAACAATATGTTATATTGACTCAAACTTTTTTCAGATTGACATCGAATAAAGTCCTTCTGTGCTCGCAACCTGGGAGTCTCAACTCGGGCATGCATATCACCATCACTCTTGTAATGAAACCATATATCTGTTACCAGGCTAGGTTCGTCGTATCTTCCCAAAGTAAAATCTGATGATTCTGTTTACTTTAGTTGTGTATCCTCAGCCTTTTTAGTTCCAAATATATCCTGATATGAAGGCAATTCGTCCGAAGTGTTTTGTGCGACCTCGCCCGCGTTTCGGACGTAATCAGGACACTCAGTTCCAACATCGATAACGTAGCATTCACTGTATCGCGGAGGGTCGTCAGCGTAAACGGATTGGCTCATTCCGTTCCCTCGACCAGACAAATTAGGTTGTGTAAATTGTTGGTGCATAGATATTATCAAAATTGAAACGAAACCTAGGGTGAAAAGGCTGATTCCAGAAAGAAGTAGTGGGTTCTTTGGAACCTTAATATCGCCACCTGTCGACGTTATTCCCCATATTATCATCAATATGCCAAGAGCTAAAAGGAGTATTCCGGTTGTTACGCAACAGTTTTTACGATCTTGTATAATAGGTCGTCTGAGAATTCTGCTTCTATTTGCAGGACTTTGCATATTTTAAAATTATATTATTCTTCTGAGAAAAATAAGTTTTTAATATAATACAAATCCATAATTGGCGATTTTACATTAATTACCAGGACACTACTTAGCCAAAGTATTGTAATTTTGTATCAAGTTCATCCGAGACACATTAAGGACTATGATAATAGAATACCATACAAAGTATCCCGCTTGGATGTGAAAATGCTTCGATATTATGAATATACGTCTAATTTTGAAAAAAAGGAAAAACAGTTATATATATTCCAATTAACGCCAGCGATTATTTACTATTGTATTATTCTAGTAAATAGCATTAGGATATACCGTGCTTCAAATCAAGAGACGACTGAAAAGTTATTCACCGCGATTATTTGATTTATGAATTCCATGTTTTGTTTTAATTTACTCGTGTCGTCAATATTTAGTTTTTGCGACAATACAGACATATTTATGGCATAACGAGCTAACGGATTTTGTAATATCGAACCATTTTTATTTTCAGTCATAGCAAATTGAATGAAAAAAGTTAATAACTATTGCGCACTGGTATAATTGCTAAAACACGTTTGTTCTAAGCCACCAGAACATCAATTTCTACAACCTCCACCACACTGTCGCAATTGCTGATTTTTATTACTTTAAATTCTAAATATATATTATATATATAAACAAACTTCGATTTAGGATGAGTTAAAATAATACGTAAAATCACTCACATTATTAAAATTAGATTATCGATATAATTGAAGTGGGATATAATTACAAATCAAATTTGAACAATCGCTAAATCGAAAACAACAATTAAATCGCACCAATATATTCCATTTAAAATGGCCTTCTAAATATTCCAATTATATTTTCATGTTATAGTTGATGCATAAACGTGTGCAGTTTAAAATTCGTGATGATGGTCCCAACCAATACTTTTGCGTAAATGTAAAAAAAATACTACGAAAATTTTTGCGCAGTTAATCTGAATATTGATTCTGGCATTCCACCAATGATTAATGCTCACGTGACCTGAAAATTAATTATGTCTGACAGTCGATGACTTAATTTATTGTCAAATATTGGCAGGGTGAATTCCCATTTGCTGATCAGCATGGAATGAGCTCGTATTTATAACAACCGTTAAAAATGATCATATAATTGTGAGTTGTTAAACCAGGACCAATGGACGATGTATATTTTAAATAAGTATAAGTTCATCCCGACTCCATAATCAGCATAATAGACGATAAAATAATTGATAAAAACAAATAAATAAAACTGATTATAGGATCGGGAGAGCAAACAAAACATAGATGGAAAGATATTGTTAAAAGAAATAGTACGTCTTCGCTCACCCAAATATATGTTACAGAGATCTTTTATTTGCATTCTGATATATTGTTCACAATAATAACAGAATTAAACAATGATAAAAGTGCATTTACGTTTCAATTAAGTGGTTGGGGTGGAATGAGTATTAATACAAGAGTTCGCGTCGCACTCCTCTATGTTGGGTTTATTACTAAAGAAATTCTTAATTAAAGTTTAGAGCGTGTTTGATGTCTGATTTTCGGTAAATGCATTCAAGATATTGAAACCGATTCAACCATGTTGCGAAATATTTCGCTTGGCACAGACGGCTAAATTCAACAGCGTTTTTCAATTAATTCAATTGGAAAAATGGAATAGTGGTCAATTAAAACAAACATTGCTTGGCGAAGTCACCAATTTCAAGTTCTAGCTACCGGTTCGAATTGTACGGCACGCGTGAAGGAGTTCATCTACATAATTATGCTACCAATGAAATGCATATTATTTTAAATTAAATATCAGTAGGCTCGCGCAAAGGAGTTTATCTACATTTGCTACCAATGAAATGCATATACTGTATATAATTTTTAAATCAAATATCAGTAGACACGCTCGAAGGAGTCCATCTACATTATGCTATCAATGTATTGCATACTATTTTTAAATCAAATATCAGCAAACAAACAATACGTTGACTGGATAACAGCATAGTTTTCTGTCACTGCACTTTACCTATCCACAACATGATCAAAACTACCTGCTTATTACCTCCGCGAAAACCAACCACAAATCAAACTACCTTTGAAATTCCGCTTACAATAACCTGTCGGGCTAATAAAACATACTGTACGCAATCACAAGATCGTGATATCACGTACTATTCCGAGCGCTAACAGCAGAGATGCAGATTCGATATGAGCGATTAAAAATAGCAATAATAACAAGACTGAAGTGCTGGTCACGTTCGCAAAAACAGAAAATACCTTCGGGTCATCGGTTCGTGAAAACTACCAAGAACGTCTAACTTTTTTTGCGCAAATAATGTAAAAATGCAGACAATAAAAACGACCTTTCGTATACAATCACAACACATTCAAGCTGGTACGGGGAAAACTTGAATGTGCTTTTGGCCATGACATCCTTTCGTCACGCAATTTAAAGGAAATTAATTTTTAGTCGGTTATTAAAAGATTTGAACTCAATATTAAATCTTGATAACGTCGTCGCCAAAGCGTGGCCTAAGATAATGCACAGCACAGTCCCCTAATTACATATAGGAGAAATGCCTAAACCACTGGAAACTGAACGTTGAATGTAACAGCAGCCCTTCTAAACCATCATTGTTGTCAAGTAAATCTTTAGTCAGACAGTAGGACACGAACCTCAAACCACAAACAATTTGTATAATCAGGTTTATTTTTATTGTATCTATATTTAGAACGTTACTACTTTGGTTAAACCAAATCAAGCGTGGTCCACATGTAAATCACGACAACGTCAGTCTGAAGTTAAATTTCACCATGCCTCCTATTTCCGCTCAATAATATAATATATTTCATTTCCATTTAAATATATATTATTCAAGATCAAGAAATATTTGCGTCTCGTAATGTTGCTGAACTAACTCTGCCTTTTAACGACATCAAAGCGAAGTCTTTCCACAGAGCTTGACCATCGGACGAAACTTTTAAATCAGCCTGAAACAAAAATTGAAAATAGTTTGCAACTGATATAGTTATAGTTTTGTCACATTGCGATTCGCGACTTTCTAAAATTGAGATGGCTAGTGCCATGTTTAACCAATAAGGTTTGACCAAGAAGTTCGGTATCTGATTGACATAAACTGATGATCTCTTATTAGCGAGGGGGACCATGAATTAGCTTAGAACAGTAGTTCAACTTTTTTGGCGGTGCAGAACCCCAATTAAATTAGAATAGAGACTTGCCACTGGAGTGTATTGCCACAGAATTCCGAATACTATCAAGCCTGTAATACTTGCCAAATGTAAATGAGTAAACTACAGCAAATGGCAGCTCATTACAAGCCAAGTCAAGTTTATTTTTCCCAACCAGTGAAAAAATATCACACGAGCACAAATTACGAGAAAATGATAAATTACATAGTTTTACTGGGAAAGGGAAGTCGCGGGGAACCAAAGCTGGTTATCGAGCAGTAATATCTAATTCAAAAAGGTCGGAATTTTAGAATTTTTAAGCTGACTTGAAGATGCTTGCTTATTCATTCTATATGATATTTTCAAAGTTGAGCAGAACTACTTAATAAAAATATGATAAAATTACCTGAACTTTTTCCCATATTTTTCGTTTTGGATTCAGTCGTTCATCTGGTTTTACATCATTGAGTCCATCAACATAAATTCGATCACCAACCTGACTACCATTTGGTGGATCTAATGGCTCAACAGAACGTACCTCATCTGTTCTGAGGTAATAAAACACCAAACAAATGAATGCACGCAAAAAATCACGATTTATATTGAAAGAATAATTTTGACTTGCGGCACCCTCTGCCCCGGATTACATGCTCAAAATTTATTCGGCTCGGCGGTGTACCGCATTCGAATCTCGTGTGGGGGAGTATATATGTGCAAGAGGATACCCGATGTGGACTGGTAATCGGAAGCGAGTTCATGGTTCACCATATGATGAAGCCAACTTTTCGGCTTTCCTCTGCCCAGTGATAAATATGTAAATCCCATGCTATTCATATTTTAATAAGTGACCCTTATTTAGCATACTGATATAACATCAATAAAGTAACACTGCAGTACTGTTGAAACCCCTTGCACTCACGTTTTTGATGAACACAGTAACATGGCATTTGACTCGATTCCTCTCATTTTTTGTGGTTTTAGATTGCACAATCCGATTACAAGTCTGTCTTTTAATGATTCTAACGGTACAAGACCAGCTAGGCCAGAGATGACTGTTCTTGGACCAGACTCTTCACCAAAATCTATTTCCTCAAGATATAGAGAGGTAGCATCAGGATGCTGCAAGAAAATTAATTTCAAGTTTGAAAAAACATGGTTAGAATTATCAATTCCCATCCTATATCCCTCAGATACAACTTTGTATTATAAAGGGTTTGGATTATTGAAATGTATGAAATTAAAGTTTGGAAAATTGCCCAGATGCACACATTCTCAATTCCTTTAGTTAAGTCTGGTATACGTTTAGCATAAAATTTACATGAACATGGCCACAGTGTCGCAAGTCATCATAAATATTCGTTATAAAAACATTTCATGCTTGTAAGCAGAAATAAAACGTTTTGGCCTTAGGCACCACATTGTTGTGTTATGTAAAATAAATTAAAAAAAAATAATTGTAAGACATGAGTTTAGCTGAGGAAATGTCAAAAAAAGTGTATAATTTGGGACACTTGATAATCCTTTAATCTTTAAAATATATAATAAATTCAATATCAGAAACTACATGATCCACGCCTTGAATAATTGCTGCTCTCGAAGTGTGTGTACCAATATGGAGTAAACTGATTTTGTTCGCCTACTTTTCATCAAGTTGTGTAAAGGGACTGAAACATATTGGCAGGAGGTATATTCACTTGCCTAACACAGACAGTCCCCGAACTTGTAACAGAACTAAAATATGAAAAATCAGAATGAAAACAGAAAAACCCAACCTGGAACACACACTACGGGAGTACCGAATAATTAGGCAATCGATGAAAATAATATTAAAAAACGGAAATACAAGTTAAATCGCGTAAATCGCTCTAGATCAGGGGTGTGCAAACTGCGGCCCGCGTGCCAAATACGACCCGCCAAGAAAAATTGTGCGGTCAGCGGAGTAGAGCCAATTTTGAAGGATGTGCCCGAAAACCGAAAACAAAAAATGTGTGTAGTGACTTTTGTTTATTTTAGGTTAATTTAATGAAGTGCTTGAAGCACAGATGTCCATTTCAAATTCATTATTCGAATAACGCAAACTTCGATTATCGTTTTTCGTGTTTGTAAGAATACCGAATATGGCGCACATATCTACCGCCGCCGTCAACATTTGGATTTAAAACATTTTACAATTATTTCATTTACATTGTAATCGGAGGCAGTAAATTACAGTCGGCATGAAATGATTTCAATAATTCAATTAGCGCTGACTTAAAGTGCTTATTCAACGTCGAGGATGTTTTTGATTGGAAATATTTTACAATTAATTATCGTATATTACATTTCGATAGTGACCGAACAAATTTTTCCATTTCTTGCAATTTCGATTTTATAAAATAGCTCTTACAGATTATTTGGTATCTATCACGCGTCGTTGATGATAATATCGGTCAGCTTAAGTTGATTGTATCAGTTTTTAATCAAAAATAAAATCACATGTCGACATGAAATATTTAAATCAGCGCTGACTAGCAAAATGAACGAAGATTTCCGGTCTTAATTCTCTCTGGGATTCAGGTTACTCATTTGATAATGACGATCGCGTAATTACATTTGCGTTTTTTTGAATCTACGAATGGTGTCGTAAGCAATATAAAAATTGAACTACGTGGTACCTGCCCTGCCACACGCCAATCAACTATCTGACAGTGTCATCCAAATGGCCCGTTCGTTTCCCGCGGTGAGTACAATAAGTCTCACACAGTTTCAGTCGGGAGGACAATGAGACGCGCGCAAAAAAAATGAAACTGCAAAATAAATAAAAAAAATCTTAATTTTGAATTTCACGTGCGTGTGCTCATTACGTGCTATCTTAGATTTCAACGTTTAACGCCTCCTCTCACCACCTCCGACCGCCGTCCTCCCACTCTCCACGGTCTTTGCTTTGCCCAGTCATATTATTTCCAGGTTTTTTGGGGGCTTAGAACGAATTGATGCATTTTCAGGTAAAGAGCGTTCGTACTTACGAAATTTTCTACTTACGAAGGGGCTTGGAACAAATTAATTTCGTTCCAAAACGAAAGCCCTTGCAAACAGAAAATTATTTGAGGTACACATGGTAAGAAGAAAGAACAGAGCAATACCGAATAAAAACTACAAGTGTTTCATATCCAAAGATTTTCGTATGTAGAGTTTCTAGTTGCAGCCCGCGGCTTCACCCAGTTACTTGTATTTGGACCGCCTGTGAAAAAAGTTGCACACCCCTGCCCTAGATAACAAGCTCATACATTTTGACAACCGTTTCAGAAATTTAATCCATGCAATGCTTTTGACAACTCACCATTTTAGCCGATATTATTTTTCCGACCCTCATATCAAGTCGACCAGCTATTTTAGTTTCATCAATTTGGTTTGCCTGATCTCCACTCCCCCCTCCACCTTTTTTTGCTTCTGTTTGTTTATGGAATTAGATGAAAAAAAGTAAATTGCATATAATAGTAATAGAGTATAATAATATAAAATGGATTTCAATAAATTATGAAAAGAAAAAAAGGAACGGATTCAAATGCATTTGTAAACAGCATAAAGTGGTTGGATGTCCGTTAAATCATGGATGTGCAACCTGCGGCCGCAAGCCAAATACCGCCCACAAGAAAAAATTGTGCGGAGAAAAGCCAACTTCAAATGGGAGTGCCCACGAAATGAGTTTTAAAATCAGTTTAATCTAGTATGTGCAAAAAATTCCAATCCCTTTGCGCTGCAAGTGCCTGTTCGCCAAAGCGAACAACACATGTCTTAAGATCAATAACCAAAATTTTTGTGACAGCAGCAACCACTAGAAAGGCCATGTTGAATGAAGGTGCGCATGGTTTTAACCAGTTATTTGTATTTGGCCCTCTTGTATTAAAAGTTAGGGGTCCCTGCTTTAAATAAATACAATTATTTTTTGTACATTTTTTCAGCAAGAAAAAATGCATGCATTCAAATGCATTATTGTACTAATGTCATGAAAACATAATTACATTCTTACGGTAATACGGCAAAATTCAAATTTTCGATAATTTTATCAAAAATATAAATTCCTACTTGCTTTGACTGGTTTAGGATAAGCTTTAGCTGTTAGTTCCTTCAATTCAGGAGATTGAAATTTAGTTCTGATCGGATCAAGTAATTTATCTAATGCTGATTGTAACGAATTCTTCAAATCGCCTGGATGGACTTTCTGAAAAAAAAAAATAAAATAAATATATATATATCAATAAGAATCAGTGCAATAGGTACAATGGTATATAGTTAAAAATTCTAATGAGACATTTAAATTCAGATTTTCCACAAAAAAAAAAATTATTCATGTCAAATCATATATATATATAATATTGAGAAATTGATATTACATACTCTACAGTCTACAAATAATATTTTAATATTAAAATATCCCTGGGAGAGTGGGAGGATAAGTACAATAAACTTCACTTCATGTTCTCCTAGAAAAGTGCTAAACATTGTTCCACAAGTTTAAGCACTCTAACCCGAAAATAAGGAACAACATTCCAAAATTTTCTGATCCTTATTAATTATTTTTGGTATTAATATATAAATGGGATCCTACATAGATTCTTGGTATTCCCGTAGTGTGTGTACCAGGTTAACGTTAGGCCATAATTTTATTCCGATTTTCCTTATTTTAGTTCTATTACGAGTTCGAGGACTGTCTGTGTTAGCCAAGTGAATATACCCCCTGCCCATAGGCTTCCATCCCTCTACACAACTTGATGGAAAGTGGCCAGACAAAATCAGTTACCAGTCCATATTGGTACACACACCTGGAGCGCCGGTTCTTTTAAGTAATTATTCAGTGTAAATGAATTCTATCACTGTGCTGCCCATGACAGGAAATATGTCACTTTTTTCAGTATTTAAATTCACAAGTGAACTACATCGCTGGATTCTTATGAGAAGGTATCATTGATTGAAACCCCCCTGAGTGGCTCGATAAGCCTAGCTTGGGAACTATGTTCCCTATCTTAATTTTATCAAAATGGAAAAATTTACCAATGAACACCATACATGATTCCCTTCCCATGTATAAATAACACATGGATTTTTTATTTTTTAGATTCTAGTTACACCATACCTCTTCTGCAAAATCCTTTTCTAAATCATGAAAATTTTTATACACTATATTTCCTCCAAATTCTTCTTTCCGCAAAATCTCAAATTCTATAAAATTAATAATTGATAACATCAGAACTTTCGGTCATACATGGACTCTGCCAATGATCAACTATCACTAATAAATGAAACTACATTACCTCCATAGACCGAATATATAACATGTTTCACAAATGCGAGAAGTCCATTGTTCTCAATATTGCCAGGTTCACAAAAAGCTTTTTTCAGTTTTCGTTTTACAGCAGCACTGTCATCTAATAGATCTATTTTAGAGTCCTGGAAAACAGGTCAAAAACATAAGCTCATAGAAAGTCAATTATGAGTAAATTACCAACTTGAGTTAAATCCAATTAATCTTTACTCTGTGTTCACATTTTTCGGTAATGTTTTGTAACAATAAGCCCGAAACTAGGTTTAAAACATAATCCGTTTTTATCTGACCAGACTGTGGCATATGAAGAAAATGCACAGTGCCCTTCCTATGTAATAGAAAATTAAATAAAACAAAAATCTCACCTCTTCGGATGAACTCATTTTTGATCCCGTTAGTCCAGGTACCATTGGATTCATCAAATGTATCCTTTTTCTGTATCCAAGTGCAGGCATATACTGATAATAAAAATTGAACTAAGTAAGACCTCGAAACCTAATCAATTGACAATGAAAGATGTTGAAAAGGCATAGGATACCTAGTTGTGAAACTACCTTTATGACAACGCATTAGGTTTAGGGAAAAGCATTTGGAAAAATCACCTTTTCTGCAAAAGTAAAAATTTTTCGTTGATCCACTCCACCAAATTGTGCATCGACGTCAAGGTATTCTTCATCCAAAGCCTGATTGAAACAAACCATTCACCTTTGTTTATTATTCTAAGATTAAACGTTAAATAACTGGGTGAAACCGCGGCCGCACCTTTATTGAACATATGCTTCCTAGTAATTGCGGCCACAAAAATTTAGGGCATTTTAAGTTGTAACATCATAGGCATAAATAATAATTGGGGTATAATTTACTTCGCAATGCAAAAGAATTAAAATTATTCACACATACTAGATTAAACTAAATTGAAAACTTGCCTTGCGGTCCGTACACAATTCAAAATTCGCACTTCTTCGCGGGCTGCGGTTGCACACCCCTGCACTACAGAAAACAAAGAAAAATGATAAATTCAGTTATCATGCCTGCAATCCAGGATATAGAAGTCCACTCAGTAATGGATGATCCACTTGCTTAACAACTTCTGCTCCTGCCTTTTTTGCATCGTGCTGAAAAAAGTATTTAGAAGATCAGTTGGATACAAAAACTTGATAGTTAGTTTTTAGTGGTATACCGTACTTACCTCAGTCACTACTGATGTTAACCTGTAGACATCCAGAGTATATTTCTTATCTAATTGATAATCTGTCCCTTTAACAAAGTTTAATTTATCCAATGGAACATTGATGGATTCCAACATCGCTTTAATTACAGCTTCATAGTATCTTAAAATAGAAGGGACATAAACTTTTATACCTGATCAACGATAATACATGTTCGTTTTACATGACTTTCTAACGAAATTTCCGAATGAATAGTCAAAGCAGTTTGACTAATATAATTCCTATTCAAGACATTGGCGCATCATGCTAGCGTGAGGAAAACGCTTGCCTTTGCGCCTGTGCTTACTCTGCGCAAGTTCGCAAGTTTGAATTCAGTAGAGGATTATTATGCTGGAACTCCATCCAACATCAAGTACATGCATCTGAAAAAAATTATTGGCCAACTAATCCCATACCAGACATTGCAACTGGATAAGAGGCCGTGGTTTGTCATATGATTGAGCAATATCATCTACTTTCCTCTTCCCAGGATAAATATAAAAATCCTTTCTTATCCCGTCCTGGTTAGAAATTGTAGTTAATAATCTCACTTTGTTCGTAATTCTAAAAGTTCCCATGGTGCTTTCATATTATCCAAGTACGCATGAAGATCAGCCAGTAATATCGTAACCTAAAAATAAGTAGAAACATTTGAAAACAATGAATTAAATTATCTCAGATTTTTAATTTACTCTGGCAAAACAATTTGCAAACATTGGATTTTCAAATAATTTTATGATATTTACCATAAAATTAATTCAAATACAACACACATTAAATCTCCTATATGGATAGATAATGCTGCTTTTAGATTAAAAATTCTCACATGACAGCCAGCTTTCAGAAAGTCCGCTATTTTTGACATGGGAACAAAATAAGCAATATGAGGTTTTCCTGTTGTTGCTGTTCCCCAGTAGACTTTAACATCTCGCTCCTTTAGTATCTCTGTCAACTTGTCATCTCCCAACACCTCCTATCAAAAAATATTAGCACGTAGATTACTAGGAGCGAATGACAACTATGTTTATGTGGAGATAAATGGTATTAGATCCAGAAATTCATGTTAGACGTACAAAGGATGACAGGAAAAGTTAGCACAAATTTGTAACATTTCTCAGTTAAACTCTTTCATCGCCAATGACAAATATAAAGAGATGGGAGTATTCAAACAATTCGTGTCAGGGCAGCAAGGAGAAGTAAAAGAAAAGAAGTAAAAGAGAAAAAAAGCAAGGAGAAGAATCAGGATTAAATTGATGGATTCGGCATAAACCAGGGCCACCCCAAAATTTAAAACTGTAAAAGGAAAATATCGAGTCTCACACAGCGCAAGGCAGCAAGGAGGTTTCTATTAATAAAAAATGAACCAAGAGAATGGGGCATTATACATTCATACCACAGTGCACAATAATATAATAATACAATTAGTCTTAGATAAGATTTACATATTTATCCCGGGGGAGAGGAAAGTCGATAAGACGGCTTATCCATATGGCGAACCACGGCCTCTCGTCCGGTTACCATTCCAAGTCGGGTATGGGATTAGTTATATTGTTTGTTTTCGGAAGCATGGACTTGGTGGTGGAGGAAGCCGTAACCGACCAGCGGTTACGTGAACCACCCAATGACGGCGAGGAGTCCAGCAATCCTCTAGCACATAACCATCTCTGCATGGGATTCGAACCTGCGAACCCACGCAGAGTAATTAGAGGTGCGGTGGCAAGCGTATTCCTAACGCTTAGCCCGTTGAGTCACACCGCCGCGCCAATAAGAAAATAAGACTTAATTATGAATGAGCTTTTGATTCAAAAATTCGAGTCTCAAGTTGTGGTAAAAGAATAAGAAAGATCATGCCAGGCAGCGACAAAAACAACCTGGATCCGCCTGCATACATTACTACGTACCTGACGTACTAACGTACCGGTACGGTATGTTTTCAAGCGTCATACTGCTGTACTGTCATACCAATCCAGCAATCGGTAGTAAAATAAATGCAATGGCCTAGTCAAATTATGTCCATACCTGAAGATGTCGAACAATTAATTCTTTTTTCTCATGCAAAGGCAAACTAGTCTGAGCCATTTTGAGCCGAAATACCGTGGTACAGAAACTCCTCGATATACGCAGATTGCACCTTTATTATGAATGAATTGGATGAAATTGTCACGTTGAGTCTCAACTCAGCCGTGACGAGGGACACAGCATGATGCAACCTTCCCCTCGATGGCATCGTCGATGAAATTGATGAAAAACCCGCAAGACTCGGAAGAGCTCTTCGTCTATCTATCTGCCAATCTATTCGGCAGCGTATACTACAAGACCGAAAAGAAATATTGCATAGCAGCATATTAATTCCACGCCACATTACTAGAGTCTATAATCATAATGCATTGAAAGCGTTACGGAAACATTGCAGTAGTCGGATGCGCGGTAAGGACTAGGCTAAAAGTGTCTCCTTGAGGGATATGCATGTTTGCAAACCTGCCATTTTTGGAGATCCCAGAGATCGTATAACTAACCGGAGGAAATTCTACCCTTGAGGCACGATGACATTATTTTGATCATCAAGAATCATAATGCGTTGTCTGCAAAAATAAAGGATAGGATAGGATTTACATATTTATCCCGGGGGAGAGGAAAGCCGATAAGACGGCTTATCCATATGGCGAACCACGGCCTCTCGTCCGGTTACCATTCCAAGTCGGGTATGGGATTAGTTTTTACTGTATTGTTTGTTTTTCGGAAGCATGGACTTGGTGGTGGAGGAAGCCGTAACCGACCAGCGGTTACGTGAACCACCCAACGACGGCGAGGAGTCCAGCAATCCTCTCGCACATAACCATCCCTGCATGGGATTCGAACCTGCGAACCCACGCAGAGTAATTAGAGGTGCGGTGGCGAGCGTATTCCTAACGCTTAGCCCGTTGAGCCACACCGCCGCGCCGCAAGCAACTTCGCCAATGACTGTATTCTTGAAATTATTGATAGCGAAGAGCATGAGTATGGCTTTTTGGTCAATTCAGTCTTTGATTCTTTAGCAAATTCTAAATTTTCCAATCAAATCAATTACGTCTTGGCCTAACATTACAACTCGTATTGATTAGAGCGTGTTGACTTTGAAGCCTTCGTTATTAACCAGGTCTTGTACAATAATGCCTCTGCGTAGCATACTCTTGCGAACATTTCAGGTTTGTCCCATGAGTGTAGAACACTTGGTTATCTATCTGTCTGTTCATGACACACTCTCCATACACATTTGAGACAAAACTGGTTCTTTCGAGGAAAATCAGTTTTTTTTTGTAGACCGAAAGTGTCTCTTCCTTGGACTTTGAGCTCGATGTATACGAAAATTTAACCACAACTAATTCTTATCGCATAAATGCTACATAATCCATTGGACCGGGCACTTTCACAATTTCTAAAATACTGCCACATAGCAGACAACTTTGCTTCTGGAGAAGACAGCGCCCCCAGTGCTCACCTATTCAAACATTTATGCCTTTTTGAGGCAAAGTGAAGAGATGACAGAGATTTTATTATCCCAGACAAAAGTCAACACTATTATAAATTCAAGTCAGAATAGAAAATAATTAAACAGTAATTGGTTGATCTTTGTTTTGTATGAGTCAGTATGCATGACTGATAAAGGCCTCCGAAGACGCTGACCCATGAGCAAGTGCTGTAAATAAGCAATAATTCGATTACATTGTAAAATAATTGAGTCGGCAATTTAATAAAAATTGCCAAGGTTGTCGGAAAACGTTAAATCCGAACAGTATATCAATCAATCAATTTTATTTGGTCACTCTGATACAAACAAAACAACAACAAAGGGACAAACAAAATACAGAGGGCCTGGAGGACGGGCATAACTTAATAAAAAAGTTAAATACGTACAAGTACGTGCCCGTCTCCCAAAAACAGAATAAAACAAAAACACGATGTAACAGCGGACAACAACTTATAAATCCAAATTAAAATGTGAGACGTGTATGTGCTTTTCCTATACACATATATGGATTAAAACACTCGCTGACGAAAAATGGTGATGTTGTGGGCCTACTTCAATTATATTGCAAGTAACTATATAACCAAGCAGTGCTTCCTCAAAACTCACTTCACATGAAAGTTTCAATAAAAACAAGAGAGCTATGCTCAAATTTATAGACACTTAGAATAAAACGAAATATATTATCATCACTTCACCGAAAACCATAGGGTACCCTACGCCTTCGGTACGGTATCTTGCACGAATCTGAACAGTGAAACAGCTACATGGCTATGGTAACTGACTTACTAGTACACGGGTACAAATAACGGTACAGGGACTGTCATAGCTCTTCCATGTCCTGTGGTAATGATCTATTCTTCTCCATCCAATTTCAACGTGAATTAAAATACCAAGTGATTCGGGTCTCTTCTCCATTACAGTACCAGGCCAAAATAAGAAGAAAATATCGATTCCCCGATAATCATATGCGATACGGTAACTTACCAGTATCTTATATTCGTTCGCGGAACGGTTCTTCCTTGTCATATAAGAACTCAATTCATTTCCTCTTATCAAATAAAAAAAAATAGGCTACAAAATTGATGTTGTATACATCAGAACTGTAACGAAAAGATGAGAGCGTAATTTACAGAGGTACGGTACGGTATCTTACCAGTACCTGTTGCTGTACTGTAGGCCTGCTATTCGATCGAGGAAAGGTTCTTCTCTGGCATATAAAAACTCAATTCAATTTGCAAAATAACGAATACGGTAGGCTAGATTTGCTAGAAAACCTACATTTGACATTACTGCAATAGTAAGATCGCGAAAGCAATAAGTCAATTTTACTGTGGTACGGTAACTGAGCAGTACCGTACCTGCAAGCTCGATCACGCAACCGCTTGAAATAAGTTTCAAAAAAGTGTTCCCATGAGTAAATGTTAGAACAGCGAAATTTTAAATGAAATATCAGAACTCAGGAAATTTAGGAATAAATAAAAGTAATAGCCTTCGGTGAAAAAAATCAAACTTTAACCACTGAAAATTTCGAAGCAATTGGCCCAGTATTCGAAGAGAAAAGCGATTTTATCATGACGAAGGAGCCGAATATTAACAACAACAACAACAACAACATAATATTGAATCGATCGTTATGTCCACTAAAGTGTCCAATAAGTCATAGTCATAGTCAGGTTTATTTTTTCCCATTCAGTAAAAAATAACATACCAAATTAACAAAATACAAAACTGAAAACACATTTTTACTGGGGAAGGGAAGTCGCGGGGAACCAGGAATGGTTATCGAGCAGCGACACCCGAGGTTCAATATCTAACTTTATTTTTTTAAAGAAATTACGTTTTTAGAACACTTTTATTATGAATGACCAGGCTTTGGCAGCTGAACTACATATAACATCCAAGAGTCATGAAAGGTATAGGAGAACACCATAAATAGTACATGGCAACATCTCTAATCGAGCCCACCAAGAGAGCAAGAACAAGAGAGCAATGCTCAAATATATGGACACAATATGCAGAACAATTCCCCAAAAATCATATGCGGTAACTTATATGTATCGGTAGGGTTACCATATTTTTGTGACTTCGAAGCGGGACGGGACGCCTCAAAAGACAACGACCCCTTAGCTGTGATTTTGTAACTTTACATTTTCCGATTTTACTACATAGGCCTACATTCCTACATTTAAAGCTGTCTTTATTGACCATATTGTTATCAAAATTTCATGCGCATATCTTCTGTCAAAATATCGGGTTCAGTTCGAAAATAATTGACGGTAACGATACCGGTACAAATATTTCGAATTTAGACTAATTAGTATTGGTTTTACATGCGATATGTCTGCTATCAATGAGAATCAGCGGAAAACAAACGCATTCACCTCCTATCCAGTAAGTAGGCTAGCGTTGCGCAACACAGAAACAACATTAACGAGAACATGTTCGTGTATTATGCTGGATGGCTGAACGCAAAAGCGGGACATTTGGCTGACTTGTCGGGACGGCGGGACAAGACGCCAAAAAGCGGGACGTATGGTAAGCCTATGTATCGGGGTACTGGGACTGTCATGGATATTTTAGGTCCTGTCACAATGATCCATTTTTCTTGATTATATTGAAACATCAATTGAAATATCTCGTGATATGAGTCAATTATGTACCGTATTACCTTATGAGGTACCAAACCACAGTCAAACATTTCACATAAAAACGTTACAAAATAACATGCGTCAACTGTCGGCGATAGAAGTTTCTTTTCAGTTGATTATTATTTTGAACGCTGTTCTTCCTTGTGTTCCGACCGGCTAATTTTTATCGATAATTGCTTTTCTGTTTTGACGCGAATTTCGCGGGCTTTACTGCACCTGACGTGTCACGCGTGGCTCTTGCATCTCGACTTTACGCGTCGTAGGACGTTCTTGTTTAATCTTGTTATGGTGTCAGTGGTGTGGTTTCGCATTATCCGCTTTACTGACTTAGCGTGTGGGTGGCATTTGGTCTCGTTAGGTAGAACTGTGGTGAGGGTATCGTAACCGGGGCCCCATATGACCATCGTCGTCATTTATTGCTTTAATTGTTCATGTATTTTTATATTTCATTCTGCTTTCATTTCATAACTGCTTTCTAAATTTAGTTGCTATTATATTCTAATAACGTGATCGTTCACGTTACCTGTCAGTTTCTTGTCGATTTAGGCCTTTGGAGCGTTATCATATGTAAGTTTATTTTCTATTAACTTTCTGGTTATGCATTTTCGTTCCGCCTTCATCTTGTGATTGTTTATTGACTATTTCACTTTATTTACAGTCAACCGTTTTACAATAAACGCGTATGACATGGAACATCTGTGTGCCTAAATCTGACAAAGTTGAATATGACGCATTTGTTGAAGAAGTCGCCAAATACTGAAGAATCTGAAGCAACAGTGGCTTCATCGTCGACGAGTATGGAAGAAAGTAAATCCGTACCCGATAATATAATTGAGAGCTTGCCATCCTTAACCACACTCAGACAAAAGCGTGTCAACATAGAGACCGAGCTTAAATCATTGTTGACCAATAGCCGGAATTTGATAAACGAAAAGGCTCGAAGATCGCAACTGGCATGCCCTAAAGCAGAGTTATATTTTAAACTGGCCGCTTATAATCAAATTATATCGAACTTATTACCTCAAATTCGCAATGCAGAGTCAAAAGCTGCTTTCGAAGAAGGCGTTCGGAGCGTGATATCTGAAGTTGAAGGTATGATCGATGAAATTGATAGTTACATCGACCGCGAACCTGAAACATCGTGCGTGGCACCTGACGAAAAGAACTCTGATGTTTCAAGCGGAAGTCTGAAAGATAACAATCAGCCAGCTCTGGCCCAACAGCCGAATGGTGAAATGGGGGCGGCGATTGACCAACTACGAGAGTCTAGCTTGGCGGAGAACGTAACCCACGAACCACAAAGACGAGAACACGATGATCGTCGAGAGACACCATCTCTCCCAAAGAGTAGCTTTATGAACACCAGGTTCAATGACTTTGACGAACGCGATATGTTAGAATCAACTCGGAGAAAAAGTGCCCGCTTTGAACCGGAGACTTTTACTACGACAGATACACGTCGTGAATATACGATTTCTTACACTTCAAGACATTATCAAAATCCTTCACCAGCAAACCAGATGCCATTGCCAGACCAGTCGGTAGACTCCTGGATCGATAATCTCCAACCAAATCAAGCAGGATCTAGAACGGTAAATGATAAAATTTTTCTAGCTGAGCAAACGTGTTTATCTTTGAGTTTAAATTCTAAAATGTGGGCTGAGCATCATTTGCCGCCGGTTGTCCTCATATTTGTCGGGTTCGGCGAAGCGTCGCGTTGAGGGATTAGGTACCGCCGGCAGTCATTACATACTGGTTTTGAAAGAATTGAAACGCCGCTACGGACAGTCTGTATTTATTGCACGGGCCGTGCTTGACCGTGTCGTGAACGGTAAGCGTATTTCGCCTCTCTCGGCCGATAGATTACTTAATTTTCACTCAGACGTTCGTGACTGCGTGGTGAATCTAAAAAAGATGTGTTTTTTGGCTGACATCAGTAGTGTCGAGAATGTAAGGAGAGTTTCAAACAGGATTCCTCAAGAACTGAATTCGAGTTGGAATAAATTTGTTGTGGGTTTTATTCACGAGAACTCTAATCCGACATTAATAGACTTTAAGCAATGGTTGTGGGAAAGAACTGAGGAAATCGCCAATCCTTTTTCTCCTGATGTTACTTGCAATGTCACCAATAGAGTTGACAATGAGAGGCCCAAACCGGTCGTCGCCAGTTAATTACGTCACCATTTTCAACGTTAACAAATTCGGAATCCGTTAATGCCTCATGCAGTGACGCACTACGTTGTCAATTCTGCAATGCTGGCCATTCTTTAAGAAGTTGTGATGTGTTTTACGGTGCAACCGATGACGTAAAACGTAATTTTGTTGTAGAGTACAGACTTTGCTTTAAATGTCTTGAACCGGGCCATCGTGCATTTATGTGTAGATGTGATGTCAAGTGTAGTATATGCAGTGGGAAACATCATAAATGTATTCATGGAATTCGCATGTTTGAAAGCGTCCCAAGACCAACAAACCGACAGAGTGTAAACAATGCGATGTCGGTAACCACTAGGGTTCAATTTCAGTTGCTACCTGTATTGGTTAGAGGAGCTAATGGACGCTCCGAATATACCGTTGCTTTGCTCGATTCGGCAAGTCGGGTTTCTCTCATTCATCCTAAACTTAAAACTAAATTGGATTTGCGTGGATGTCGTAAAAAGCTTATGTTAACCACCCTGGCGGGAACTGGGATTTCATATGATTCAGAAGCGGTTGGATGTTTTGTACGTGACAAATTAAATCCCGATGGCAAAGAACTAGATCTAAAATCAGTTTTCGTATGTGACAATAGAATTCCCCACCCTGAAAGACGTCAAACGGATTTTGAAACTTTCCATCATTTACGCGGAATACCACTCCCTGATATTAAAGAAAACGAAGTTATGTTGCTCATAGGTGCGGACCATCCGTTTGCCCACTTTCAACTAGAAAGACGTGTAGGGGGGGATAACGAGCCTATTGCTATTAGAACGCCACTTGGGTGGACTTTGCTAGGTGCAAACAAACGCGCTGGTGAAGTCGACCTAATTCAGGCCAACTGTCATTTATTACACGACGATTACAATATCTTGCAAGAACAAGTTAAGCAGTTTTGGAGTACGGACGCGATAGGAATGGTTTACAACATGAAGCGAGCCGAATCAGCGGAAGATCGCGTGGCTGCGGATATGATTAGAGCTAAAACATCCATTGTTGATGGGCATTATCAAGTTGGCTTTTTGTGGCGTCACGATGCTTCCATTATGCCGGAGAACAGTCTTATTGCCCGCACTAGATTTAAAAATCTGAAATATCGACTTTTGAAAAATGACTGCCTGAGAGACATGTATTGCACGTCTATGAGGAAAAATATCGAACGTGGCTGGGTGCGAAAACTGACCGATAAAGAACGGGATACTTTGGGTCCTCGAACTTGGTATCTGCCCCATCATGGAGTTCAGAATCCGAATAAACCCGGCAAGATAAGAATAGTTTTTGACGCCGCTGCTACATATTGTGGAATTAGTTTAAATAATCAGATATATTCGGGACCTGATCTTATTAATAATTTAATTGGTGTTTTACTGCGATTCAGAGAAAGACCCGTTGCATTGAACGCTGATATTGAAGCCATGTATCATATGGTGCGTCTACCGCAGTCAGACACCGATTCAGTTCGATTTTTCTGGCAAGAAGATCTAAGATCAACATCCCCACCTGATGTATATCAGTTTTTAGTAAGGATTTTTGGTGCGGTCGACTCGCCATATGTTGCAAATTACTGCCTTGAACAAACCGCGCTTGATAATACCAGCCAATTTTCAACGGAAGCAGTAGAAACTGTTCTCAGGGATTTTTACGTAGATGATCTGCTTTCATCAAAATGGAATGATGACTCCGCCTTTTCCGTCGCACAAGAAGTTTCTAATATGTTAGCAAGTAGGGGTTTTCGATTGACAAAATGGCTTTCAAATTCCAAAACATTATTGTCGAAATTTAACACAGAGGATCGTCTTAATCCTGATGTTGATCTAGATTTTGATTGTTTGCCCGTTTCTAAGGCGTTGGGACTTCACTGGAACACTAATGACGATGATTTCTTCTTTATTTACAATTCGTTGGCAAAACCTGTTACAAAAAGAGAGGCGCTAAGTGCGACGGCATCGGTTTTTGACCCTCTCGGAATTTTAACCCCTATTATTTTAACTGCAAAACTACTTATACGGGAGTGCTGGAGAGATGACTTGAAATGGGACGAAAATTTTGATGACCGTAGGAAGAATACTTGGGGCGACTGGACCGAATCGTTAAAACAATTGACTAATTTTCGTGTGCCTAGACAATATTTAGGAGTCTCGAAAACCGATGCCACTTATGAGCTCCACTTGTTTTGCGACGCGTCTGAACAAGCTTATGGTACCGTGGCTTACTTGCGTGCCAAGAAAGGCCAGTGTGTGAATTGTAGTTTTTTGATGGCCAAATCAAGAGTCTCCCCGATGAAACATATGTCCGTTCCCAGACTAGAGCTGCAAAGTGCCTTATTATCCGCGCGTCTGCTGAAATTTCTGCGCAAGTCTTTAACCCTGCCCATCACATGCGAAATGTTGTGGTCAGATTCTACGTGTGTTCTGAGATATCTCCGAAACACTAAAACAAGATTCAAAACATTTGTTGCAAATAGACTGCGTGAAATTCTTGACTACACTGAACCTGCGCAGTGGCGATATGTCAATACCCAAAATAATCCAGCGGATTGTTGTACGAGAGTCATGCCCATGAACAAATTCATCGAAAGCGATAACGTGTGGATAAGCGGACCAAAGTTTTTATTGTTGCCTGAATCATCGTAGCCCCAACAGCCGGTATTAGGAGCAATTAACAATCGTGATTGCGAAGTTCGCGGAAAGGTCTGTTTTACAGTTACGTGGCCGGAAATCCATAAATACGGATTTCTGAATGACAAAATCCGCATCGACAACTTAATCAGGGTGGAAATGTTTTCCACATGGTACTCTTTATGCAAGCGGACAGCTATGGTAATTGCAGTCGCGGATGTGTTTCGAAGAAAGACCAAAATCTTAGAGCTTCGTCCGAAACTTTTAGAACTGAGTGGCATGATGTGGATAATAGCGGCCCAGCGAGAGCATTTCGCAGAAGAAATAAATGCTTTGAAATCGGATAAATTACTCTCGTGCAGGTCACCGTTATTGTCGTTGACACCTTTTTTCGATGGAGTCTTCTTGCGTGCAAATGGTCGCTTACAAGAGTCACCTGAGCCGCTTGAAACGAGGCATCCAATAATATTGCCATACAGTAGCACTAAGTGTAAAGATAGTTGTTCTTGTCGTGTGTCTTGGCTTCTGATGTGTGCAGCTCATTGTCGATTAGCGCATTCTGGCCCAGATGCAACGTTAGCGTCGATCCGGCAAATATTCTGGCCATTGAAGGGTCGCAAACTTGCCAGTCGCGCAATAAAGAATTGTTGGCCGTGTCGGAAACGCTCAGCTCGCCCTCAACCGCCCCTTATGGCAAACTTGCCCGAGGTTCGTCTGACGGAGGCGAGGCCATTTTTGAACAGTGGGATAGATTACTTTGGTCCACTGTACGTGAAACGAGGACGGTCCACTGAAAAGAGATGGGGATGTATTTTTACTTGTTTATCGTGTAGAGCAGTGCATTTGGAATTGGCCTGGTCAATGGAAACTGATTCCTTCATATGCGCTCTTAGAAAGTTTACAGCAATCCGAGGCCCCGTGAAAGGAATATGGAGTGACAACGGGTCCAATTTCGTTGGCGCTTCAAGAGAATTACGGCAATTAATTTCTGATCTGGATCAAACTCGCATTACCAACGAATGTTTGAAGAAAGGCATTGATTGGAATTTTTCGCCACCTTATGCCCCTCATTTCGGGGGCATCTGGGAGCGGCTCGTCAAGAGTGCAAAGCGTACTTTGAAGGCAGTCCTTGGTAACCTATGTGTAACGGACGAAGTATTAACGACTGCGTTCGCTGAAATTTTCGATATTATGAACAGCCGTCCTTTAACTCATATTGGGGACAACGTACGTGATCCAGCACCCCTCACGCCCAATTGTCTTATACGTGGGCATAATGACGCAAATACACCACTGGATACGGATTGTACATCAACAGCGCATCGGAGAAGATGGAGACAAACCGAAGCAATCTCGAATCAGTTCTGGAAGCGATGGCGGCGAGAGTATCTACCAATGTTGATGACTCGAACAAAGTGGCTGAAAGATCATAGGAATTTATCGATAGATGATATCGTAATTGTTGTAGATGACGGCGCGCCAAGAGGAAGTTGGCTACTAGGAAGAGTTATCAAAGTTTTCCCTGGAAAAGATAACCGGGTGCGTGTCGCAACCGTTAAAACAACAAATGGGGAAATAACCAGACCTGTGACGAAACTATGCCTCCTGGAAAATGAATAACCCCTTGAAGGGTTATTGGGGGCGGCTGTGTCGGCGATAGAAGTTTCTTTTCAGTTGATTATTATTTTGAACGCTGTTCTTCCTTGTGTTCCGACCGGCTAATTTTTATCGATAATTGCTTTTCTGTTTTGACGCGAATTTCGCGGGCTTTACTGCACCTGACGTGTCACGCGTGGCTCTTGCATCTCGACTTTACGCGTCGTAGGACGTTCTTGTTTAATCTTGTTATGGTGTCAGTGGTGTGGTTTCGCATTATCCGCTTTACTGACTTAGCGTGTGGGTGGCATTTGGTCTCGTTAGGTAGAACTGTGGTGAGGGTATCGTAACCGGGGCCCCATATGACCATCGTCGTCATTTATTGCTTTAATTGTTCATGTATTTTTATATTTCATTCTGCTTTCATTTCATAACTGCTTTCTAAATTTAGTTGCTATTATATTCTAATAACGTGATCGTTCACGTTACCTGTCAGTTTCTTGTCGATTTAGGCCTTTGGAGCGTTATCATATGTAAGTTTATTTTCTATTAACTTTCTGGTTATGCATTTTCGTTCCGCCTTCATCTTGTGATTGTTTATTGACTATTTCACTTTATTTACAGTCAACCGTTTTACAATAAACGCGTATGACATGGAACATCTGTGTGCCTAAATCTGACATCAACTTAACACCACCTCAATCGGGGTACAAATTTCGGTACAGTGACTGTCGTAGCCGTTTAGAGCTGATGGACATTTCGACTACACGGACAACTCACCAGGCCTATCTGTGGTCGAGTTGTCCGTGTGTAGTCGAGTTGTCTGCCTCCCATTTCACTTGTCCCGTGGCAATGATCTATTCTTCTCCATTCAATTGCAACATGAAATAAAATACTAAAATCCGTTTCATTCCCTTCTCCCTTATTGGAACAAAATTTAAAATACAAGCCCCGCTTTTACCAGACAGCTACGAGTTAGTTCATTGTCACTGCGCTGTGTTACAGTACCGGAACTGCCCCATCTTTAGCAGTTCCTGTCTTGTGACAGCGTGAACTGAAATTGCAAGATGGTCCGACTCACAACTGTAGTAATACCAACGATCCGAGTTACTACTGTAATATACCACCAAGTACGGCACTATTCGCTATTCACCATTCCTAAAATCTTAGCAAAGCAAGGATTCCGTTACGAACCACCGACGTTCGATGGCACGTGATCAAAAGAACATGGAGAGGAGTGCCAGCATATGCATCCGCAGAACGCTTGGTGACGTCATAGCAAACAAAAACAAATCTCACAAAGCTAACAGAAATATTTGAAATAAATAAAAGTAATAGCCTTCTGGAGAAAAATTTCATCTTTAACCTCTAAAAATTTCAAAGCAATTGGTCCAGTAATCAAAAAGAAAAGCGACTTTTTAGGTTTTCCACTAGGTGTCCGAAAACGTGTCAAAGAACAACAACAAGAGAGCTACGCACAAATATATGGACACGATAGACCAGAGCGAATCAGTCTTTATCGGTACCTTTGACGCTACCGGTACCCTCAAAAAAGTTCTGAATTTCCAGTAGCAAGAATTTTGCAGAATCAAAACGTACAGCCAGTCATGACACTGACTAAAATCCGTGTTCCCATGGATAAAAAATAATACAGCAAAATTTTAGACGAAATATCAAATTTCATAGAATTCACGCAAAATTTTGAAATAAATAAAAGTAATAGCCTTCTAGCGAAGAAATTAATCTTTAACCACTGAAAATTTCAAAGCAATTGGTCCAGTATTCGAAGAGAAAAGCGATTTTTTAAAAACGTGTCAAAGAACAAGAACAACAACAACATAATATTGAAACGATCGTTATGGCCACTAAACGTGTCCAACAACAACTTAATATTGAAACGATCCATAGGTCCACTACATGTCCAATAACTTTTCTCGTTTTCCCATTATGTCACGAAATCAAAAGATTCGACCGGAGGTCCTGGCATACTACTCGGGGCCTATGATATTTTTGAAAAATTATTTTCGTTGTTCTTCAACACGAAATAGACATATATGGTACACCGTTCTTCCAAGTTGAAAGAGTCAATTGTAAATTGTTATGTCACCAACGTTGTAATAGCATGGCATACTATACTAGTTCACTTGTTGTTTGATTAAATTATACGGGTTTCATTATTAATTTTCATCACTGGAAGATTAGCATGTTTTCGCATAAATTTGCGGATCGCCGAGAAAAATGCATGAATCAGTTTCCTTCGACTGAACAACATATTTCGACCGAGAACTGATTTTGAATTTATTATGTCAAATTTCCATAATCATCGATCTTGGTACTTCAAATATTTTTCAAATTTATTGGGTCCTTACTAATGCAGTTAGTGATATTCTTTTGAATTAAACGCCACAGGAGATAAATTTGCGATGACGTAATCATTTTCGAAGAAATTATACATTATAAAGATGATTTGTACCTGAGATGCCAGCTAACGGTTAAATAAAATCGTGACCGTTAACCATCCAAAATCGATTATCCATTTCCAGCCCTGGTTGGAATACATATAGTACATCGCTTAAACACTATTTTCTCATTCTGCTAAACACTAAAATTTATATCTACTCTACATTACAGAACTTTTTCATCATTTTATTTTCCTCTGTATCTCGCCTCGCTGTGTTATAATCAACTATCATTGCGTTATTTGATGCATATCTAAAATTTGGAAACATGACTAAAAAATTGTCAAATAGTATTTACCCAAAAGAATGAAAACACGCCCATGACTAGCCGTGATTGAAACTCTATCTGAATGAAAAAAGTGCCGCAGCGGCAGTACAAATTTTAATTGTCATTGTAAGTTATTTCTGTTATAATTACGAAAATAAATTGAGCCGGAGAACCATATATTCTTGTGAGTTCAACCTAATAATATTTATTTGTCATTGGACTACTAAAAACTAAAATAAGAAAAAGTTGTTGTTTATTCGAAATTTTCGGTTTACACTTAAAAATCAGCAACCAGTAACATTTCGTTTCTATCGCGACTGGCCATGGAGTAACAATGTAGGTCAACTATGATCATTTTAGGTTTAAGTGTTTTTCGTGTGGTGCGTGTTACTTTCCGAGGCTTTCATCTAGAGATGTATCGGTATCGGCAATATCAGCCATTTTTTCGGTATCGGTATGTCTTGGTATCGGTTAGATTAAGGCCGATATTTCCGATATATTTACCCTATTTGATATGGTCCAGAATGTTTTAAAAGATAAGTTGGAAATTGGAATACTACTTTTTAATTTATTTTTTGTCTGGAGAGATTGTGAGCTATGAGCCATACGTGTCCCCACCTTCGCGAGAGAATCGGATTAACGTGTTTTTAGCTATTTATCAGCCAAACTAGCTCAACTAATTTGGCTATTTCCGCTGTCAAATTTTTATATTGACATTTTTAATATTACATAGTCATTATGAAGAAATATATCAACAATATATCACAGCACATAACAAAAAGCAACTAGGCGCCCATAGTTTTAAATCATACAATGGAATTGGGGTCCTTATTAACGGCACATGGACTTTTGGCACGGGTATAAATTCTGACTGTTTGTTGTCAAGTACGAGTGTCATTTAGTCCGTCGACATCGATAAACTAAATTCCGACACAATTATCCCTCTACGCAGGTATTAATTTTAATTTTGTTTAACTATACAATTTCTTTATAGATATATTGACATGACCGTCTAGCCCTAGACTGTCTCAGAATATATGATACAATTGTAAAATATTATAAAATAGTAAAGTAAAAAAAACATCCTCGACGGTTACAGGTAGGTCTTCTTATTGTCGGTGCTGATCGATATTCTTTCATGTTGGCTTTGACTTATTGCGTCGACGATTACGATTAGCCACGAAATAAAATATTTGTAAAATGCTTTTAATTTGAACGTAGGACGGCGGCGCTAGAATGTGTGGGTGATATTCGATATTCTTTTGAACACGAATAACGATATTCGAATGTCGCGATATTAACATTAAATTCAAATTAAACATCCCGGCTTATGAGTTTTCTAATTGAACACCGAGATTACTAGCGTTACTCTACAATGTATCTTAATCAGTTAAAGCATATGGATACCAAACATCAATTTCATATTATGTGATATATCTTTTTTTGATCTGAAATAATGTGTACTATGAACAACGCTCATAGACTATTGTTTTAACCCGACTGCCCTACACAGCACACCTAATTAGGTAACAATTACATAGTATCGGTATCGGGATATCGGCATTTTTGTAGTATCGGCATCGGCGTTTTTAACTGGTATCGGCGACAAAAGTGGTATCGGTACATCTCTACTTTCATCTATGAACTTACACTGGTGGTGCTAGGGAGCAATATACCTCAGCAGTTGCACCATATCGTCTGCCAAAAGGTAGTCTGGTCCTAAGCCAATATTGACACAACCAGCCGTATTGAGCGTGAGGTATGGTTCATGCCTAGCATAGCCTATGCCATGATCAACTATACCAACGAATGTTTTTTTGTAATATAATATCAGTTCCACTCAGATTTACTTACTGTATAGTCAAATCAATATGAAAATATTAAATAAAGATATGAAAGATGATACTCCTGAAGTATGCGCACCAAGATGTCGCATAACCTAAACCCTAACCTGGTACACAACCTAAGTTCAGGTTGTGCGCCATTTTGGTGCGCATACTTCAGGAGGTCCGAACTTTCTTCGTCACAACGTTGTGATTAAAACCATGGAAGAAAATGAGTGAAATTTTTAGTTAATGGATCTATGAAGCTGTCGATTGATTATTTCTAATCCCCACAACTATTATTAACAGAACGGTTCCACAGCTCTCCATGAAGTGACTGGATGCACACAAGTTGTGACTCTCGATGCCAGGTCGTTGAGAATAAGTCACCTTTTATTTTCAACTGTCAATCTGGAAGTGCAGGGCGTTACGATGAGAAACCTTGATCAAAGATCCGTGCTAAAGAGCGACTAACTTGAAACGTATATGAAGTATTCAACCACGAATACGACCAGTAAAAGGACCGAACGCTTGCAGCAACGTGGATATCGATTTCTTGCAAACTAGAGATATGAACATAAATCATATTCATACACAACTAAGCATATGATATTTTAATATACACGAGGTTTCGTTATTGGTAAGCCAGTCCCTATTTATTAATTCTGACGTATTTACAACCATAGCGTCGTATCTGCAGATATAAAGTTGAAAAAAAAATCGAGTTTCTTTCGCAACAGCCAGGCAATCCTCCGTCGATTAAGATTAATAACTATGTGACCCCCTTCACAGCGACCAAGTTATAAACCGTTAAGTCGAATTCAGTATCGTTTGCACTCAATACAAGTCTGCTGGATATTGATAGAAACGCGAAAGCCCGCCTGGGGGCCATTAACTCGCTATGTGATGTTTGCACCACTTCCTTCAGCTCTTTATTACACGCTCGTTCTTTTCTCTCTTCTCTCCTCGGCTGATATTAATCAGTTTATTACATTCTGAGAAGAGAAAAACGCGAAAAAGCGAGATATAAAAAAGAAACACTCTTTGCTCACAATAAAGATACTAACGTCACGTTTTCGTTCCCACGCGAATGACAAAAGGATGACGAGAGAAGCTGACGAGGTTTCAGTCCTCGTTTGATCGAGTGCCGCGAAGGCTGGCTTGTGGCAGTTCGTTTGTTGGTAAAGCTTGGGGTATTTGTGAAGCAGTTGGAATAGTCGTAACCTGGTCATACGTTAGCTATTACAACTTACATTATTTAGGCTATGGTATAGCGCAGAAAAACACCATATGTTTCGATATTTAAGATACTGGCTGTTCAAAGCTCCGTGAAGTATATTACGTGTTAGTATCTAAAACAGGCAGATACATGTCTTGTGAGAGTTGAGCTTATGCTGGTATATTTTCAGTTAATATTGTCTATTGAATATGACTATGAGCATACTGTCATAACGGAATTATGTGTTTTTATTTACAAAACCTTTTTTATCTTATATTCAGATGTGGTAGGTTTATTAGTCTTCACAAACTAGAATAATTACAAAGAATTAGAACCCCGCGGGATCTTGACGTGTAAAGAAGCTAAGAGAAAAAGAAACGCCGTGAACAAGTACGCAGTCTCTGTGTTGTATTGATTCAGTGACCGTAAAACAAAACGGCCTGCTTATACTATCTGCAGTCATATTTACAGCACCACCGCGTTTCGAAGTACGTGTTCTAATTAGAACACAAAGACCTTCCGCACCAACGATCGCCCTCTCTGAGCGACGTGACCTATTTATCCGTTACGTAAGGAAATATCGCAAAGTGACACCACCATAAACCAAGTAATTGAGTTGGCTTGTCAATAAAAATGGATTCACAAAGTCCTAGCGATGCTTCGCATGCGAATCCATCGGGACATACTCGGATAACGATAAATGTACACCCAACAACAGGGGGTCAATTCCAAATAGAAATTTCGCCTGACGAAACCGCCGAAGAGCTGCGAAGAAAAATATCAAGACGACTTCAAACTCCCAAAGAGCGATTAAAAGTTCTCTACAAAGAACAGTACGTTAATTTTGTGTGTTCTTTTTTTAAATATTTTGTGAACTTGTATTTTAAATATATCATTTAATTTTCTTACAGAGTACTGGAAGCTAGACCTTTGAGAGAATACAATGTTGTAGATGGAAGCAAAGTGACACTATTACCGTCAGTTGAAAGTGGATTTTCGGTAAGTTTCAAATTGGATTCTTGAAAATTCTCGCCACGATTTCCATTATCAATCCAAGGGATTTTCTTCGCTGTTTCTCTCACTACTATACATACCATAATTCGACGTTAGTCTGCTGTAATGTAAAAGGATAGTTTGAGTAAGTTAGATCACCGTAGCCGCAAATACGAACTCGCTTTTTCGCTTCATGTTTGGTTATTCAGTCAAAGTGTTTGCCATTCATCATATCGCTGTATCGAGCTTCGTGAGGGTGTGACGTCACCAATTTGCAGAAACCGGCTGTTAGATACAATCGTGGAATGGCACAGACGGGCGTTTAGTATACAGAAGCGAAATGGATCTGCTTGCGTGTAAGCACTGTAGATGATTTGATTTCGTAGTACATATCTGTCTCCAAAATTGTCGTCATTATGCCTTTGGTTAATTGGCATGGTAACGAACCAGATCCGGTCATTTCCCGTACAGTAATTTTCGTTTAAAACGGAACCCGCCGAGGGCGTTGATGGCGCTAAATTAAACGCAGTTCAACGTTCGGATACGGTTGAGCAATAAGTCACTTCTAACATTTACTTCTGTATAATAATATATGCTTTTCAATGTTGTATCACTTCAACACAGCTAGGAACCGAACCCACTTCAGTGCTTAACAATAAAATCCGGCCGTTAAGAAAAGCATAGTATGTACATTTTTCGTATGAACTTAGAAATCTTAATTCAATGTTTTATTTGCGTAAACTTATCACAGCAGTTGATATAGAACCACCGTACATTGAAATCTTCAGTAATGGAAAAAAATGTGATCTACGAAGTTTAGATTACTTTTGTTTCGCGATCAAAACATTCTGTCAACTTAATAGTCTTAAAGTTAAAATACGGAAACAGTAACTTTTAGCAATGTTTCGACTGAGATTGCGCGGCCGTTAGTGATGTGTTTGTTAAAACAGTTTGCGCAGTAAAATATGCACATTTAATTGTTTTTATTATTACATCATCTCTAATGCCTGTCCTGTAATTATAGAAGTTGCTCAGATGGTCATATAATAAATCCAAATGGTGTCCTTGTATCCTGTTGTATCTGAAGTTTGAATATTCGATGAACACTAGTGACTAGATCACTAGACGTTTACTGTCTTTATCGTGAAAAGCCGTCTTACAAAGTTACCGTATAACGATTTCCGCTATATATCGTTTTGTCTTGACATTTTAGTCAGCTGGTATTTCAGTTCGTTCCACATTCGTCTACACCGACACGGTTACATTTGAGATCGATCGGTTGTATGCGATAGCAAAAAGAAAGCTGAAATTAAAAAAATACAACGTCACAATATTTTAGCCGAATTCTTACAGTTATGCATTTGGTGTTTTCCTCCGCGCATTATTGATTTGCTGTGAGCAAATCAGTCGACTCTGTGAATGAAAGTCACGCGTTTTGTCGAATCATGGTTCATGACAGAAATGCTAACGTTTTCCGATTGCTCTTCAGAACAGTAATTTCTCGGTAGGAAATAATGATTGCGAAATTCTTTGGTACGCTACATCAGCTGTTTGTGTACTAGACCAAGCGGGAAGCGAATTGTAAATCACTCAGTATAGTCCTCTCGGTATATGCTTAATTACGATATGCATGGCAGAGGTGAAGTAAAACCTAAAAGTTGTGTAAAAGTTGCGGGAGTGCTGATGCTACATTTTCAAGCAGCACAGCTGTGCTGTGTCTTATACCATTTCGGGTACGGCAAGTAGACGCTGAAGTCCGTCGTTCTTGCTTGAGAGATTTGGGTTACTTGCTCAGTTAATCAAAACATTCATCTACGTATACTTGATTGTGTCTCATTTAAATTATAATCTGGTGATATGCTAATCCGCAAACCAATTTTATTCACGATTCAATAAGGGCGGTCAATTAACAACCTTCAGAAGAACCGATGTCGTGCTGTCTACTCTGTATTTACTAATGTGTTGTGTGCATGGCCATTCATCACGTTGAAACTCGGGACTAAACCAGGCGTGTGTGACATTTTACGAGCAAGCTGTGTCTCGAACCGAAATATGCGTTTAAATTTAGAAGTCGCGTAGCCGACAGTTATTTCTATGCGACGAAGTTTAGACTTTGCGGAACATGTTTTGTGACCGTTGAATTATTGCTTAGTGGAAATCCACCCAAGCCATATGTGAAACCTCATAGGTTTTTGAAGGATATTGCCGAATATTCAGAAAGGAAAGATTTATGACCAGCTGAATGTAGTCCCTTCAGTAATTACGATAGCCCGCCAATTTTAAAACATCTTGACACTAGACATTTACCATCTTTTTGTACAAATCAATATTCATATGCTCGAAAACACTTATTGAAAACGTTTAAAAGACGCTCTGTGACGTGGTGACACGTGTATACTTTGATCTAAAAACGTACCGTAACGGCCTTATTCAATCTAGTTCAGAAATGGTGATTACAGTTGGTTGCGAATAGATTATCTGATAATAGAGCGTGCATGCTAAGTGATCATGGTTCTTCACAAATGTTTGCTGACACGGCCATTTACAGAAGCCATTCACAATTACTTGTCAGGGATGGATGGCATGTCATGCACATTCTTCGTGGTTACTGTTTCCATACAACGATCCATATTTATTAAATTCGTTTATACCAAAGTTACATTTTGTTTTAAATAAAAGATGACGTTACACGGGAGACAGCCAGCAAGTAAATTATTTTTAAAATTAAATGTATCTTATTACACATCCTGCAGACATATTTCTGTGCAGGTATAATGTTGAAAATACCAACCGATGGACTTCAATAATTTTAATTATTTTTATTTTTCAGTCTACAGTCCAAGGAACTCAGCAGTCAATCATACAAGCTATAGAGAGTCTCTCCGACCCACAGGTATATTTCTCAGGCAATCTTAACGCTCATTTGCGACCAAAACCACAATCATTGATGACGTGCCATGGTTCAATTGAGCCTATAGCCATGCGAATTGGTGTAATTATGCGGCATAGTATTTTCCCATAATGGCCGAATAAATAACAGTTCCATACACAGTTGTACAGAATCACATGGAAAAATCTCCCAAATAAATTCATTTAACATTCATAAGCTTAGACTAAACATACTTTAAAATAATTTCGAACAATATACATGTGTAAGTGTTTTAACCATAATTGAGGTCAAGATAATTACAACAGTGTATGGCAATAAATTGTGAATTAAAAATACACGCCCTTTCCTATTCAACTGGATGAAAATTTAGCATCAAAAATTATTCTGTTAAAATTTATAGTCATTATCAATTTGTCATGTGAGAATATTAAATTCGATTGCTATTTTTATTTTTTGATAATTTTTATTTTATGATAATTTTTAAAGTAGCTTGCTAGTGCTGCTAAAAATATAAATTATTTGTATAATATTTGTGTAACTCTTTAAGTCTTTCCGAATGGAATTAAATTTTATCGCTCAAAAGTATCCAAGCATGTCATAAAAATTGTTTACACCTAGTGGACCGTTGTTTTTTGCCGTGTGTTTTGATGTACCGCTCGTCAGTAGTATTATCATCAACGACCGGCTATACCTGATAAGGTTTGTTCAATTTGATACGCTGACTATCGTCCGCTCCGATTTCGATATCGCCGGAGAGAGTTCCATGCTACTAATGAATAGTATAGTCAATTACCATTTGGTTTTCCTCCAACTTCCAACTTTTCTACTCCATACCATTTCACATGGAAAACGGACCAACTACGTGTGCAGATTCATCTGCTGTAATTTCGAAATAATGTATTTCACCATTATTGTGCTCAGCGATCGTAATACATCATTTTTTAAACCGTAACCTGGAGAACAAGCTGGTACTAAATAACTTGAAGTGGGTTTCACCAGTGCACATTGAGAATAATATTTAGATTTGACAGACCTATGCCGCTACATGACCGAGAAAATGAGAAATTAAATTTTCTTTAAAATACTGCAATCCCCATCCATATAGAATACTGCGAGCAAACGGAAACCGTTGCGCCACTGCCGTGGATACTTCGTTCGACGGCTTATGCGTATTCGCTATTTTCGTTCCTTCTCTCTTTCCCTCATTCATAGTCGTGACGCTCTTTTGTGCTGGCTAGTTGTGCCCCTCGTGGGAAATCGAGATTTAAACTGCCGAGGCAGAATGACGATATTGATTCCCAGGGTTTGTTTTCAACGTAGCAACAATGTCGATACACAAGTAATTTTACAAAACAACCTTCGTTTTTAAGTTAGTCCACTTCATGTTTATATCCAGGCGCGGATATTAACGGAGAATACTAAACTTTTCGCTAAACCCTCTGACTGGAAACAGGCCTAGTCTAGCGGATTATATATTGGGCGACTCGCGTAAAAGTATGCTTATTCTTAGCGGTTTCAGTGAAAAGGTACGAAACCTTTTTATAAAAAATACATTAGTCAAATGCGTTTTTTCAATCTCATGCCAGGCTTCAAAATGTTACCAACCAATTCGCTTGAATGCGCACTTTTATAATAAATTAGTCAATCAGTCTATGGATTGATTATGAAGGTTTTGAAATTTATTCTATGAATCGTTAAGCAACATTTTTTTTACTTTTACTTTGCGACGTCTTGGGACCATCAAAAAGCGGTTTTTTAATTTATATATTGAATCAGACACAATGAGGAATGCATGCAAAAGATATTTTCCACTAACGCAACATCTTTTATCAGTATCCTAAGCGAACTTTGATCCCTATTGAACTTGATAGCATGGCCCTATTTCCGTGAACAACTACAGACAAAAACAGCACAAGTCAGTGTTGATCAAAATTTCTTTAAGCGTTTTGTTCAACAATACATTGTTAGTTTGTTACAATCTTTAAGAGAGGCTCAGTTCGACACACACAAGCGCGTTATAAGGTCGTATCACCTCTTTCATATATTGTTAGTAGGGCACGATATTTACTCGACATGGTTGGGCGGAATTGTTTCTCCTTCTTTTTAACACGTGACTTGCAATCGGGTTATCCTTGTACGATTGTATGTATATTCAAGGCAACCTAAAAGTACGTTCCTGGACAGGGAAGATAAATTCACTAACTTGAAAGGACCAGTGTTTCATATTTAGTGGGAGTCGCACTGGAACGTCCCTTGTAGGATGGCGGGACATCAGCCCATCGCTCATCTTGTTGTCTAGCATGAAAGTGGATTGACTTCAATAGTATTTTGGCCAGCAAGAATAAATGACTGCGAAATCCTGTGAACAGCCAACGACTGTGATATATGGCCCTGGGTCTCCACAGAGTCCACACTTATCTTTTCAGTGGCATTTTCCATTAATAATATTATGACAAGAAGAAAAATGATGGGTTTATTAAATCTCTCTTTAGACTGTAAAGTGTAAAGGGTTGTCATTGAAATCATTCATGAATACTTCTACCATCGGATTAGCTGAAGTTACCAATTTATTGTCATGTTGCCAGTGTCACCCAACCCTCATGAGCAAATTGTCTTCAGACCATCTCATTCGGTTTTCGGTGAATTATTCTGGAAGTAATGGGTGACTAATCTAGATCGACCATGTTTATTTCTTCTCTTAGAGTCCGTGATCATTTGTATCAATATCGCTGAATGGGCATCTGAAAACGATATTAAACCGTCATTCCACATATAAATCAAATATTGTTATTCATTTCTTTGTTTAGGATAAAGGTCCATTTCATTCCATCAGCCACATTTTTTGTTGTCCCTGAACACAGATTTCTATCAGAGTTGTTCATCAAATGCTTTATCTCAGGTCGTATTTTAATAGGGGCTGTATATGATTATGTTCCTGTAGGCCACCATTTTTGGAACAACTGAAATAACAGGGCATCACGAAATCCCATATTAGCCTGTTATGGACTAAAATAATCGCGAAGCGCCATACAAGCTCTGTTTCATGTTACTTTTTTATTTATGCTCTTTTGACTGTAACATGGGTAGGATCTAAATTATTTTAGATCTCAATCTGATTCATAGCAACCTACATTGCACTCATTGTTCTAGCTCTAAAAGATATGTCGCGGGGCAATTCGCTCGCTATTCGAGATAGCATTTATTTCAATAAAATCGACCTGTTTGATCACTCGCTCCCTCTCCGCGCCACTTCACCGTATCTCCCGTTTTATCGTCTCTGTTAATCATCCACTCGCCGTCACGCTCACAGAGAGGCACCAGAGCGCCCCGCTAGTTCCGGAAACCAGGCAGACTAGTCCGTCGCACGGCGTCTACCGAGTTGTGGTGACTTCGATCCAAAAGACCACTTTGATCTACGAATCGACGGCGTCTTCGATTTGGCAGAACATACGACTCTTTCAGTCCATATTTCTCTTTCTCTATGCAAATCAAGAAATCGGAAATCGTTGTTTTAGCTCCGTTCAAAAACCAATAAATTTTATAGGGATTTGGTTCAGCAGAGCACTGTTAACATTTTGAACCAATGCGACTTATTTTACAACGGACGAAATTCCACTAATACATGTGTAGGCGTTTACTTGAATTGAATAGAGATGTTTTAGAAATAAATATATTTCTTAGGATTTTCCCCTCCCGAGCTCCACGACTTAGCACCAAAAGCCTCGGGCCACGTCTTTTCAAGTCAAGTAAACGAAGGATTACGGTTCGATCAGCAAGTAAAGCTGTGCGCGCTCCTATATTATATACAAGTATGAAAGAATTCCGTCACGTACTTTAGCTCTGGCGTTTACACTGGCGAGGTGTGTTGTAGACGCTGTGTGAATGAATACTTGTTATTCGACGACAGGTAGGCCTTTGTGCGAAAGCGGATTGCGCTATCTGATATCTTTTCACACTGGTTGTTCACACTGGTATAAAGTAGCTCAACACCCACGAACAGATTTGTTCTGATAAGTCTTCAATGAAAGCAATTGTTGCACGACGCAGAATAACTGAAGTCAATTGGATACGATGAATATGGCATGCAGTAGTTTTGCTCTATTCCGCACTCATTTTGGCCTTATTAGAATTTATTACATAAACATTTCCAGTTTATTCAGTCATTTGTTGTTTCCCATGTATTATGAAAACTTGTTATTGATCATTTTCTTTGTATGCGACAATTGCTGGTCTTGTTCGAAACGCGATTCTTAAAATTTTGAACGACCTGTATACACTTTCTCAAATAGCCCCGAGCGCTGCTCTCTAGTCATCCGCCAATTTTCAGAGTGACGATCACTTGTTTTCGTCAATTTCACTGACTGCCGATTACCTCCTTCCAAGATATATCATATCTAGAGGCGATATTATGAGACTCGTTCCTTTGAAGAAGGAATCAATCATCTGCTGAATCTGATTTGTTGAACTGGAAAATATTTCAACCTTTTCGCTTGTGGCAAAAGAACTGATTAGTGACTGTTCTCTTCATCAAGATACGGCTTTGTCATATAATTTTCTTTCATTGATATGAGTTTGGATAGCATTTCTTATATTAGCTTCTTTCACCCACATGGTCCTATTCGAGGTACGTTGATATATAATATATATTATATCCTATTGTATGCCTAAAATGTGTGGGTGTAGGGAGGTCATTACGGGTGGACATTTCTGGCGCTACTTATCGGAGCTCCGCCGAGATGGCTTGCTATATATGAGTATCACTCGAGTAAATAGAGAGTGTGAAAAGTATGTCGAGTGATCAAGCGCTATTAACTTGGGAATTTTGGAATATAGCACCAAGATATCAAAACAGATTTGTCATTCTTATACTTGAAAGTTTCAATTTCTTTCTTACAGTCCAAAATTCATATTAGGCTTATGTTCACGTTTGGGAAGTTCATATATCTATAGTGTGAGACAATTTGGTATGTTTAAGACATTTGACGCTCCTCAAACGTTTTCAGAAATCGTCGTTTAGCGTATTTGACTATGTTGGCGTACGAGAGGGTAACGAGCGTCGCGTCACAGTATAACAGCGGCGCAGCCACCTTCGCTTCGCTTGGGAAAGCCAAGCCGTGACCACATCTGCTTTTTGTTGTTAACCCTTTTCGCGTTGCCTAGCTCCGCGGACGCGAATCTAATCAGTGCACAGCCCTGGCTTTTTATAAATGCTTATAAAAAGAGTCAAACATACCATCGAGCAAACTGGCTTTTGTTTCTAGCGTGACCGCTAAAGCACAGACGCTGGTTTATTATGAATGAGGTAAAAGCCCTTCACTTCAGTTGCCGATAGAAAGAATGCCGTACGCTGTATATAGAAAAATTCATCCTTACGTCAAATAAAACATTCTTAGGGCACTTCGCCCATTTCACATTTTTGGGTCGGGTTTACAGCAGGATTTGGCTCCAGTCTCATAGCCGCCACCGTATTACTTCCAGTATTATATGCGGAAGGAGGACTTATTATTATAAGTGGTCGAACAAGATAAAGTCGTCGGCTTGCTAGACCTAATCTTCACGTTGAAAATATTTAAATATATAAAAAAGATTAAAAAAATATTCAACCCAAGAGTAAGAAATTTCATGAAAAAATAATTCTAACTTGTTGACTGAAATCGCCATACGTATGAACCACCTTTCTTGGTATAATGGGTTACATTTGTGCCAGAATCTAAGCGTGGGAGAATGTGGTCGCAGTTTGTTTTTATTTCGGCATACCATATCATAAACAGCCCCCGTAGCCCAAGCCAGGACTGAGCTTCAGCGTGAATAAGTATTTAGTCAGCAAAAAGTCCCATCTCACTCTTAATGAAAAAAGCAACCGTATCTTTTATTATACTGGGACACTATAAAAAAGAGAACAAGACTGACGGTCGGTCTCATGACTCTTTTTCTTTTTTTATCCCGCTTTCTCTTTTGTTTATGTTTGTCGAGTCAATTTGGTGAGCATGAATTATGTAGACGCTGGGCTATTGAAAGTGCACTGTAGGTTCAAAATAACAGGTGAAAACTAACGTGAATATTCATCGCCCGTGAATGAATAAAAATTTTCATAGGGTAGTGTCGGATGCTTTATGGAGAGTTTTTTGTTAATGCTACGACTAGCATAAAACCGGAATTGTTTACTGAGCATTCGGTAAATTTGCGCGGCGTTAACATTCTTTATGGAGGTTGTTAAGTTACCTTGTGTCGCGCACTTAGATAAAGCGTGACTCACCACTCCAATTTATTTGGCAAAGATTGTGAAACGTACAGCTTTTTGAAGTTCTCAAATTCTAAGTTATAAATAACAGCGAGACCGATTTATTAAAATTACGCAATTTTGTCTGTGAATCTTGTATGGCCATGCTCTGTCAAACAAAGAGCGTGATTTCACAATTTTGAATAAATATTTTCTTATATGAGTCACCATGTTTGAAAACGAGATATCTAATTCCACAATAACGACTTTATACGATGCTGGCTCTCATATATATTTACAAATTTGTAGAATCGAGTGGAAATATTCTAACACTTTATGGATATCTTCGCAAATGCGTGACTTATCCGTGGTTTACCCTTCATTCCCGGTCGGGAAATTGATTGATATTCAACTCCCTTGTAGGGAATGGTATTGTCTGGATTTTTTTAACGGAGGAAATTTAATAAATCCGTCTTATCCTTCCTTGACAGATCGACGATTTCCTTTCCGGTCGACTTCCGCTTACGTTAGCTTTACGCGTCGGTGATCACATGATGTTTGTTCAACTTCAGCTGGAACAGTCACAAGTCAACTCACAAAACGCAGGTGAAATTTCATTTACTTTGATTTGTTACCAGGTATATTTCCAGTAACTTGAAATAGCTGTAATTAGTAAATAACATGGCGACTACTAAAGTGTGTCAAATTCTTGAATTTTGCATTTTCAAATATAAAGGGCAGTTATAAATTCTGTTAGGACAATAAAACCGATAAACTGTACTGTTCCTGATTGGGTTTTTAATGAAATTCTTATTTTCAGACAATCGACCTTCTCGATCGCATTCTTCTATACCGATCAGTCAACTCCGGCATTCCTCTTCGACTTGTATATCTCCCAGGTAAGTTGTATGCTATGAAAACAAAATTTAAAATTTAGTTTTGCATCAAACCATTCCAAGTCTTAATCATTAGTTGTGAAACTACATAATAAACCTTTCAATTTATTTATACAACGCAGAATGCTTTATTTGACATTAATTTTAAACGGATTATTATTCTATTTTTTTTTCTAGGTTATTCACCGGTGTACCCAGCGAGTCAGCTTCCTCACTCGGTGCCACATCTTTGCTACCAAAGTCTCCAATTGATTTAAACAAGGCGAAAATTTTATCCCCTTCAGGGACGCCTGCAAACTCTGTAATGGGTCAACCAATAACTACTGGACCATCTCCAAAAATACCAAAACTTTCAGCCAAAAGCGATGTTAGTAAAGAGAGTGAGTATGTACAAGAGGGGCCTGATGTAACTGGGATCGTTCATAAATCTGAACGTTTTCATCACCACCATCCGCATTCTGCACCATCCTCGCCAGAAGAGCTACCATATGCCTTTCTGGATCCCCGATTTGACAGTTTGCAACAGATTACACATCACTACAATCAACTCGCTTCTCAGCTCAATCATCACACACAAAGTGGAGCCAACCATCTACGTCGGCTGGTCACCGCATGCTCTTCTCTTGAACAAGTTGTGGCAATCCCTCCACCGGGCATGGAGCACCTAAAAGTGCCCACAACTCCCGAACATAACCGAAAATCCTCTCGAAAGCGGCCTTCGTCAATGCTATCTCCAACGGAACTCTCTCCGCCTCCTTCGTCCTCACAGAGAACTCCATACCCTGAAAATGTTGGACATGCACTGCCAACGGTAATCCAAAACGCGCTATTGCGCCAACATTCTCACTTGAATGGTTTTGCGCCATCCCATGCTGCCTCATTATTATCGTCCGCGTACGCAGAATATCGAGCTTCGTACCGTCCCGAATCACCTCGTAACAGCGTTTCTTGTCCGTCTGGGTCATCTTCTCAGGCCAGCACTACACCTGCAGAAATTAAACTTAAACATCCTATCACGTCCACAATGCTACAGACGTCTTCTTCTGGTAGTAAAGGTTGCGGAACCAGCAGACACCCCAGCAGGTCGGAAAGAAGTCACCGAAGAGCATCAACGAGTGGAAGGATGACATCGGGCTCTTTATCTCATCATTCCTCGGGAATATCAGGTGGGAATTGTTCAATTTAGCGTAAGAACTATTAGGATTTCACGGCTAAATATATTGTAATTCATCTGGTACACAGATATTGTGTTTTTCTGAATGAAGGTTTTCTTGAAAAAGCACTGACTAGCACTCACCTCGGGATAGAAAATTTTAATATCTTTATTATCTATACCTTTTTTTGCAATTGATTATATTAATAAATTCGTATATTTAGGAGCTAGAGTTGCTCGACAGATGCAACGTTTGAGACGTCTTTGTGGATCACACCAACAATGTGTAGCCTATAGCAATCGCGAATTAGCGACAGAAATTTCTTCTATTGTTCACATGGCAAGACACTCGCATCATCATTCAAGATCTGAAGGATCAACTCACAGAAAGAGCCACAAGGCAAGTTTCTAAAAGATGAGTGAATGATTGTCGAAAATACTATTATTCGGATTTGTAATGGTGGAAACAGTACAGTTTAGCTCCCATCTGTTCGAGAAATGGCTTATGCACTATCTTCGAATAAAAATATATCCATTATGATTGGTTACATGTTGATCCATCTTATCCTTAAGTAGAACTTTGTACCCAGTTACCATTACCAGGACTTACATTGAAACGTTTTTTTCAGGCTTGTAGAGAGTGTCACAGTCGTGGTCGCACTTCCAGTTCGATGGTCTCCGGTGTCACCGATCAGAGTTCCGATTCAAGCGCACCATCGGGGCAGGCAGCTGGTGCATGTATCGATAGCTTCACCACGCACGGGCCTGGAATTTTTTCTGGAACATTTTCAGGTGTGGATTGGGATGGACGTTTTATTCTCCTACTAAATCATTTGTTACTGTTTCGGAGAACGACCAAATGTGTGTGACTTATTTCGGTACTGGAACGCATGTAATTTTAGAATGCCGTACATTGCCTTCAAGCATGAAGTTGTTATTCGTAGAATCTCTCGAACCCGCCGAAATGGGATTTATTATCACAGTGACGTATTGTCTTAAGTATTTCCCCTTAGGTTAAATTCTTGCATCGTTTCGAAGTATCTGAGCTGAACGTTTAATCACGCGACCATGACGCAGCTTGGTTTGCGCACGTTAAGCCGCAAGTTTTGACGCTGCGTCAGCGAGTGTTTCCCATGTATGCAACGACGAACGAGAATTGACGTGACGTGAATAAACGCGCACGGGAAGCTTTTTGGATCTGCTTTTAGGTGTGTATTTTCTCCATGGCGAAATTAATATATTTTAGTATTACTTGGTAGCATTATTTTAAATATCCTCCATTGTCTTTTTCCAATTTAAATTCCAACGCATCGCAAATCGATCGTTTTTGTTTTTGAAAAACAAGTATAATGGCGTGTCTGGACTACTAAAGCAGACATATTTTTAGTCAAGTTATTTAATATATTGCTTATTGGTTTGACCACCCACATTGCGGTATTTTAGTCAGAACTTAAAACATACATAGGACATTTGGCTGAGTCTGTTGCCGAAGTTAGGTCAATTTGCGCACGTCCATGGTTTAGTAACATATAGGAAACAGAACAAGACTAGTCTAATCTGTATTTATAAAATGGATAAGTGAAACATGCCTCACGAAATCGTGATGTAGTGACGTAGCCGGTGTCTTCCAAATCATTAATTCAATGTTGGATATACAGATTTATCAATCTTTGTCCGGTTTGGGAATACACGAATATTCAACGGTTTTAAAGATGACCATCACGTCCAATCATTTGTCCGTGAAACGAAACAAAATTTTTAGTTTGTAGTTTGTGATCTCATCTATATGCGCCACACACGAGTTAAATAAAATGTTCATCATAAGCGCTTTATTATCTCTACTGCTGTTATCCACGCAAACTAAAAATACCGGAACCAGGGTTACCAAAAATTATTTCCCTACATACCATTCTTTTGCCATGAATTTATGTTGATATTTTGAGTAAGTTTGAAGTGATTTTATCCATAATAAAACGAGTCCAATGGTTTCAGCTTGTGGTCGTCGTGGAACGAGGCGCTTGGTAAAGCAATACCCGGAAGACGCGGATCGAATTCGTGCGAGTTATTAGGGTCAACATTTTCGAATGGTATAAAGAGCTGTGAACCAATACGCGTGTTGTGTCAAGGCGTGCTCAATTGAATGGCACAAATTGTTACTGCAGAATATTAGATAATGATATAACGCGCGTATAAAGGGAAATCATTTTTGCTGCCTCTCTGTAATTTGATGAATGTTTGTTCCTGTTAAGCTCGGACCTCGTTATCGCAGGATTTTCGTACCATCGCTTCATTGCTCGTATAAATTGTACAGTTAATGATTCGTTTTAAATCTAATATCATAGCAGGGGCATGCCAACAATATGTCGTCATCCATTGAAATCTTTCGTCAGTATGCATACAATGCGTCATGTATTACTAGTACGCACAACAAACTTGTTAGGCTGCGTGATCACGTCCTAAATCGGTTGCTTCATAATTTTCTCGATGGTTTAGCTGATAAAGCATGCCGTTGCCGGTTTCACTTCCGACGATGACGTCACTTATTTGCGTGCAAGTTTTCACAAGCCAGGCACATGGTATATGACGTCATCGATATTTTTTTCATGACCAAACTAACGCTCAATAGCTAACTATAATGTGAGTAAATCAACTCACTCACTTTGGATGTAAATTTATTTTCTCGTCATACGACGCTCGCGTTGTGGACAATGGACCGCAACTAAGTACAAGCACCCTGGCTTATTTAAGTCTTTTGACGCGTTGCAGTACTCTTTCAATGTTTGTCTTGTCGTCCCACAGAGGACCGGATGCCTTTAAAGCCCGGTGTCTGTTTTCATGGTCGCGCATTGTTGTTAATACTTGCTCTGATAATGCCCGTCGGAAGGATGACAACGATTTTCGATTTGCATATTTAGCAAACACCAGAATAGTTCGCTTTCATAATCGATCTCGGTAAACATCCCAAACTAATAAATGACATCCGCCGAGTTACCATACTCGTTCGTGGTGGATGGCCTATCGGATTTTATTTTGCCCTTAAAACAGGATGTAGGCCTGTATATCGATAAGAATTGGTGTAACGTTAAACATACGGTAGATAGATTACAAAAGGCTGTTTTACATTAGAACGTGTGTCGTTGTTAATTCATGGTTTATTCTATGTTTGTAGCTTTACCTCGTTTGATTACACTACTTATTTCTACGAGTATCTGAATTTAATAGTTTCTTAATCCAGTTTTAAAATTCGCCTTAACACTCGAATTTAAGCTAACAATCAATTTGAATCTGAAATTATTTAAATTTGTAGTATTATTCTATCGCGCGCCGTCATGAGGTCTTCCAGTGACGTCGCAATTTCAGCTTTCCGCTAATTAAATCAACTGTTTGGCGCCGAATTTTTACAACAAGTTCTAGTTCGTCTACAATTTTTAAAATTAAAATACGTGTATTTTATTTAGGCTCTCTCCATCCGAGCATACAAGACGCCGACGGAAGGCCAAAAAGGGATCCGAAAACTATTTTACAAATTCTTACGGATTTACTGAACGCAACACAGCAATATCAGGTGGGCAGCAGTTTATTTTTTTTGGAAATCATCCATGCATAAAGTATTGGATAAAACTTCGATGTGAGATCTAAATTTAGGCACAAGTCACCGGTGTTTCAATTGATATTTCAGATATTTTGCGGCAAATCTAAAAATATCTGATAGATATATCGCAAGTAGCCCTTCATTTTCTTATGTAATTATTCCTGTCAGCCCCAAGGCGTCATGGTAAAACGCTTTTCCGCTCATATTTATTCCGGTAAATTTCTCCAATAGGCTTCCGAAAAGTTCTTTATTTGTGAAAGTAAATGTGACGGTAAATTCTGTTTCTTAGTTTTCAGATTCTCCCAACACTACATAGTATAGTTTAATTTTTATTTTAACTCCATAAAATATAATATTTTTACACTGCTTCAAAATTTTAGCGGCTTTTGGTTAATACTTACTGTCATCTCATAACCTTGCGAAAAGACCAATTATGGTTCTGTAGCGTAATGTACAGTATTCAACATTTATTATCAACCGATGGCTGACTTGACAAAGTTCGCCGTCGATGAATAACGTGTTTTGAATGAGTAATAAGAACGGCGTCAAAATTCTTCAGACTATTTCAACGTTTCGGTTTGGTGACAGGCAGTTCGATGTGTCGGTGGTGCGCCAATGCCTCCGGGCCCCGAAACATATTATTGTACTTCACGTAGCTTTTAACGAAAGAAATATTGAGCATAAGAGCGGGCGCGTCCGTAGCAAAGGTAGAAATTACCTCGAAAGTCTCTTCAAAATGACACGACGCGGTCATGAAAATTGAGTGCTGGATTGATCCCTACGGGTAATAATAATGATCAAAATGCCATCGAAATTGTAATGTGGTTGGCGAGGTCTTTATCTCGATAAGCTTTAGTGGTATTCGTTTTCGTAGGTCATTTCATTTCCTCATACAGGTTAAAGAATGGAAGTGATACAAAAAGATTATAAATTGTTTTCAAGCTTTCTGGCGTTTGGTCGATGTTACTAATTAATTATCACTGTCATCGTAGTGGATTTGTCTTAGTATTCGAATTTTCTTTAATAAAATATTCTACTATGTCACACAGGGTCAGCTAGGCAATGTTGGTCTCCTTCCGCAACTTTTCAAAGATCATTTTAAAGCTGACTCGGCTGTGAATGCCAACAAAAACAAAGAAAATGGGAAGGCGCACACACATGTCGCTGCCGATAAAAAGGACGTAAACACGCCGCCCCCTTCTGAAAGCGAAGTCCAACAACCCGGAACTTCGAAGGTACGTATGCCCAAATATTTTTATTCCATTTGTTACCATTTGATACCGCTCCTGTAAGTCACTTTTCAAGCATACATATAAATAAAGATATAACCAGCCATAGCCCATGAGCAGATTAAATTTCACAATACAGAATAGTAAAAGTTCTACTACTTTTTTACAGCAACCGATTTTAACGCCACAAAGGCAACAGCCAAAATTGCGTCCATCGAATCAGAGTCACCACCATCAACCGAAACCGGTTTACAATCACTCCTACCTTCTGCCGCCGACTAATATGGCCCCAGAAATAGGTCAAAAGCTAACCGCCCCGGCCCAGTACATGTCGTCCGTTTCAACCATTCCAATAGGAGCCATTCCTGTGACATATGGTTCCAGGCATGGCACCAGCAGAAGCTCACGAAGAAACTCACCCGCTGGCAACGTTAGCAGCAAATACTACAGAAGCCACAGCAGATGCCACCATCACCATAAGCACCATAGCGTTGAGAAAGCATCGTGCTGCGGATCGTCATCGTGTAGAAGGCAGGCGAAGGCCCAGATGATGCTTAGCGCTTCCTACAGTGAGTTGTTCTTCTTCATTTGTTATTAGTGGATTACCATCACAGTAAACGACAAATCCTAATGGCTTTTAATAATTTCAGTCAAGAGAGAACACGAAAATTCTAACACTCGCAGCAAAATGAAGGAACTCAAGAAGAAAATGGATCGACAACGTCATCGGCGTCAAATCAGGCGCAGTAACTCATCCAAAGTCATCGATAAGCCTGAATTGGTAGCGGAGAACCAGACCACATCTGGAATTGCAATCGAACCAGTCAGTGTGGTGGCTGCTACCCACGATAATGCGACTACACGGGACACAAATATGGAGGTACATATTTTCACTATTAGTCGATTTGGTAACCATTGGTTGGATTGGATTTTAAGTGCATGATGCGCGAGGATGGAATCCTAGTAATCATGGTAATCAAACTGCCACGCATGGGATACAATTGGTGAAATAGATAAAATTGCCGCAAAATAAAATGCAATATCTGATTCATGTTCTAACTATCTTTAATTTCAGGTTCAATTTGACGACATCAAAAAGGATTTTGAAATCAAAGAAGTTGCACACGAGCCTCCCGAGACCGTCACTGTTTAATTCTACCGTTGCCGTGCCAAGCAATCTAGACGAGAGAGTTTCATGTTTCCACATCGGTGCTACTTCTCTCGTTCGCCGCGCGTGACGAAAAGGCGGATGGAACCGGTTTCATCAAACAGGTTGTCGCCTCTTGAAAGCACTATGAAAACCCTCCCATGCGATGGAATAGTTTTTTTAACATAACATGGGCTAGTAAGTGATAAGCCATCCTCGCCGTCACTGAAAAGAATCCGTGGAAGAGAATTATTTGTATGTTCGTTGCTGGGTACCGTGTATTATCTGCCTCAGCCCCCAACATGCATGCACTCTTGTCGAAGTAGTGAGCTAATATTGAATTTTTGGGAGTGCGGGGGCATAATTTCATTCTATGAGTGACTTCGACAATTTTTAATATTTAATTTTTTGGAAGGAACACATGCGCTTTAGAAAATTCCTTCGTGCCTAGTTTTTGCGCTGATTTCAAAAGCGCTTTCATGAAATCTTTACACATCATTTCACTTAAGTTTATTTGAATTATTCTCCAATTTTCTATGTTATAATTAGCCTATACGATTGCATTTGAATGATTAGCAGTCTATATCAATCTCATTGCGCACCATCAAAATTGCGTGTGCGAATTTTCTTTATACTTACCGTATTATCTCTTTATCATCTATCTACATGTATGTTTCCCTTCGTGCGCGTGAATGACTAAGTAAGCCATAAAACTTGAAGCACGGCCTGATACGATTACGATTTTAGTTCTTTTTATGATGTGGCAACATACGTGCCTTTGAATCTGAGGATGCCTATAAATTTCAAGTTATTGAGTTCTATCTTACATTTATATATACTCGGACTGACAGTAACATAGTATTATTGAAGCTATCTTAAGATGGTATTATCGAGTTTATCAGATCATTTCGTTACTTCTTTGTGACTGCGCGTTGTGCATGCAAAAAACAATATTTTAAAGATATTGTGCCTGATATTTAAAAGAGTGGACATGTCTTGTTGTATATAATAAACTACCTCATCATTTTTCAAACTCACCTTGGTAATCTCGTGTTTTTTTTAAAATAGGCGGGGCGTTTTACGGGTGTGCACGGTATGATTTAATCCAATATGCTTTCAACCGTCTGTTTGCTTATCTAACTTTATATAGTTATTGTAGCTGATAAACTAGTGTATTATAGTTGAGGTGACACTAATGTACCCGCGCATGTCGTCCTTGTTTAATATATGACGAGGCAAAATGTGACTTACCACGCTTGTTGTGGGTTCCCACGAATTAAGTTATTTCAGGTTTTATCCTATTTGTAACCCTACTAGATTCTCCAAGTATTTTTGCAGTTATTTTCTATTTGATGCTTTTTGTTTACTGATTAATTTCTTTCCATGAATTTCGTGATTTTAATCTCCCTCTCTCTTTATCTGTTAGTACTATTTCAGACTCATCGCTACTTATTCATATCGATGCCATATTGTTACCACTCCTTTCGTTCTTAGTCGCAATGTAAAAAATAAAATGAATCTGTATAATAGTGCTTTCATTTGGACTCTTCGAGGTTTTATGTCGTGAATGCATAGCTGGGGTATATGTTGGACTATCCTAGATCTTGATTTTCAAACTGAGTGATAGCAGAATACCCGCCCGATGAGAAAATCTGTATAGCGAACCCGAATATCGCGTGTGATTGAATTATTCTTAATGCCGTTACGTATTACCTTGATACTGCGATTTTAGATGTGGGACATGATTAAGCAACGTAATAATGACGAGTTTGTATGATTTAATTTTTCGGAAACCCGATGTGCCTCTGTATCCATGCATTTTAATCCAGTATTAGCGACCATAGCGTTTTATTCCAGCGATTGGTCGCGTCCAATCTACACTCAGCTCTTGCCAACCAGTTGCGCCCGAACTGAGTGCATCTTCGTTCTTTTTCCAGAGATGATTGGGGCCGGAGACAGAGCAGTCTGGCTGGAATGGCTAGTTGACAAATTTGTAACAAATCGCTCATCTCTTCCATAGCTTTACAAACTAATCCGTGGCAATCGCATGGCTATGTATCAAGCGCAACATACTCGTATGTCGTCCTCGCAAGCTATACTAATTTCAATCATATATATATTGACACATACAATTCGAAAGCAAAAGAAATAAATCGACGGGGATTTGAAAAGTGTAACGTAAATAACGTAAGCAAATTAAGTAGTGCATGTGGGCTACCATATATAATTGATGGGTCTGCATTCTTACGCCTACAAATAAAGATAGTCCCACGAATTCCAACCTACTGACAGGCATTATTTTACTTGTCTTTACTGTGCGCCGTAGTAAAATGGATCCATTTTCTCACATTTGCACACAAAACATTTGCACCTGCATATTTTTGCACCCATGGTCATTTGGTCAATGAGAAAAGCATCTTTTAACCCACAAAGAAGAAAAATACCAACAAGAACAAATACAACATAATAACGAAAATATCCATATCTACATTTCGTGTCCCTTACTACCGCATTCTTCATGATTGACGCGAACGCGGAATCGCCACAAAGTGCGTAATTTTTGATGACAGCATCGCACACGAAAAATGATTCCCATAGAGTAGACTATAGAGCTCACAGATATTTTTAAATAAATGGAAGTAATAGCCTTCTAGCCCAAAATACAATATTTAACCACTGAAAATTTCAAAGCAAGTGATTCAGTAGGTAATTAATGAGAAAAGTTAACCATTTTTTTTAACCGAGAATAAAGAAAAATACCAACAAGAACAATTACAACATAATAACAAAACGATCGATATGTAAATTTCGTGGCCAATAATATAAATTTAATGAAACTAGTGTTTTATGTCATCTGAAATTAAAAAGTAATTTCAGTATTCATTACCGATTGAAAGCCAAATTATGATTAATTTTCATGATATTGTTTGAAAATAGCAGTAACATATTATTTAACAAGGATGAGCCCGGTCAAAATGAAACGTTACGAATAGAAATAGATTGTATCCAGAAAGCTAAAATATTTCGGAATTTTGGTTTTAAATGATATTCGGTTCAAATGCATATTATTCCCCCTGTTGTGTCCCTGGCACTGACTAACGAACTACACAAGAATCCAACTCGATAGAAACGTCAGTTTTAATGAAAACAAACGAGAACACGGCACATCAAGTAAGCTTAGAATATCCTGGTTTAATGTTTTAAATGATATTCGGTTCAAATGCATATAATTGGATAAATCCCAATGACATCCCCCTGTTGTGTCCCTAACACTGACTAACGAACTACACAATAATCCAACTTGATAGAAACGTCAGTTTCCAGAACAGCCTACAAATCAGCCAACGCAACACCAAATTCTAGAAATTGAAGTAATATGGACCTTTAACGCCTACTAGTGGAAACATAAATATATGGAACGCCAATGTACAACATCCCCGCAACTTAGTTTGCGTTCTGGCATGATATTTTCTGAGTTCAATTCATCATAACTTTCCTTTGATGCAATGATTTATACCTGTTGATCCACTTCAGAAAGCGAACGAATTTTTCAAATACATTTTTCGTGTCTAGTGACTAAGATATCGCGATGGGAGTTATTGGTTAAACTAAATTATTGAAATAACGTTCATGTTAGCGTACAATGTCATTGTTTAATTTTAGATCGAGATATCAGGAACATAACGATTACAAAAAGCATAATAAATTCTCCATGCAAAAAAAGACCAATCCATAACAACCGATTGATGAATGAGGAACAATGAACTTGTCGACAACGGGAAATGTTTCAACATGTTCACTGCTTTCAAAATAATGACGCTTAGTTGAAAATCGAATTTGAAAACTAAACTTGCTTTCCATCTTAGTCCAACAGATGATCTCTAGTTTTTACTATTTTGACTTGATGACTTGATTTTCTTGATGACTCCATGTCAAATATTGAAGATGTATTTCTTCATAAAACGAATATCTGGGGCCTAAAAAATATGACATTCTTTTCGTTCGGCATTTTTGCCTGAGTGTTGTTCTGTGAAAATAATATAGATTTAGATGTAGGTTCAGAAAATCTGAAAATATCGATTGATAACAGCAAATTTCAATATTATTGCCACTAATCAGAATAATCCCCAACGTTCCGTGATCTTGGACCATCGAATCATACATAATGACGGATTGAATGGCGGTAGCTATACTCCGATATCAAAGTTTTGGTCAGTCCTAATCATCCCAGTCATCATTGCCTGATTGCTTAGTTTATTCTAGCAAGACCAGTCAAAATAAAAAAAAACGCCCATGCAACACAACACCCATACCATAAAACTAAAAACATCTTAAAGCCCTTTTTTAGTTGAATCAACTATCGCACAAATTCTTGAGCTGGTCCTAAATTCTCTATGTGCATTCAGTCCAAAGTAGAATCTTCGCGAAACTGACCAGATATGAGGTCTTCAAAATTGTATATCACTGTATAATCAATATTTTTAATAATATTAAAGTACATTCCAGTTTTTGAAACGATAAGCTGAAGATTGCGTAGAACAGCCTATACCGGCTACTCGTCAGTGTGTCATTTTTCTATTTTTTTGCACGATAAATGTGTTTATAGCCATAATCATTCGCAAAAAATGTTTTTTTAGTCATAAAGTTCTCTGCATTTTGAGCTGCGGTGCAGAATTCCTCTTTCCACGTTTATTGCCTTGCAGGCATATTTACACATATTGTTTCGAAGCGAAGAGAAATTCCCGTCAAAGAGAATGCAATCTTGTGTGTTTGCCAGAATCGATCGATCTTCGAAAGTGCAACGTTGGTGGAGGCAATTTCTGCTGCATGTTATGCGAATAATAAAGTATATATAAGCGATGTAATATCAAATTCTCAGAGATGATTAGTTGTTGTGGCGAGACATTTTTCCTATTAAATGACTAAATCACCAAGAAGTAAATGAAAATGCTATGCAAATCCTTCATAGAAATCCAATAATTCCAACCGCAAAACATCAGTACACAAATTTAATGCAATTATTTTTATTAATTATAAGCACAAATTGATAGTTGTAAGACGTTTTATAATTTTTTACAAGATTCATAATAATAGTCATAATCAGATAATATAAAATGGAGATTGAGATGAAACTGTGAAAGATTCCGGGACTCCGATAAGGCCCTGATACCGTGTTGACGCAATTGCCCCACATTAGAGGAGTATGTCTTGACCACCAGATTGGCGTCAGCGGCGTTGTCTTGTACGACTTTGAGAGCTGTATCGCTCGATATGTTCAATTGGACGCTTGCTTTTCCAACTGCCTGCCTGGCTTTGATGTCGCAGCCAATGTCATCCTCGGTTTATCATGCCGACGGTTGTATTAAATGAGCACTTGTTATATCGTTGATATGACTTGACCCGACCTCTGTCTCTGCGATAAAGCCATATTGCATACACATGACGTTCGTATGAAACGGTAGTCTTAGTCGAAAATCAAAAACTTTTATTGCATTTATATTTTTATTGATTTCAACACTAACAAAAAACGAAAAAACGGACAGTGCCAACAGGAGTAAAATTAAATTAAAATTTCTTAAGCTATAATAAATAGCTTATTAATAATAGTGTGTCATTTCTATCAAAATTTCAAAAGATAAACATGGGAGACTCATTCATGACTACATCATTCAATCTTAACTAGAGCCTGCTCCAAAACTTGGACAATATATTCTGACTCAAGGAGTAGAACGATTCTGGCCAGGAGGATGTTGTAAAAAAAAAAAAGTCAAAAGGTAATAGGAATTTCAGTAATAATAAATATAATATATGGCAGTTGCAAGTGTTAAAAAAATTGATAAACATGGACATCCATGCTCAACTTAAAAATCTTTGATTATAAAAAAATAGCCCATACAACACAGATTTTTAGAAAGAACATTTTTGTGAATTTCAAATATACGATCCAAACGAGGCGTGAAATAAAGGACCAGATATTTGGTATCGGTGTAATGTCTAGTAATACTATATAGGCCAGGGGTGTGCAACCTTTAATACAGGAGGGCCACATTCGAATGACGGAGGGGAAACCGTGGGCCACACCTTTATTTATCTTAAGCTTTAAAGTAGTTGCAAGCACAAAATTTTTGGTTATTAATCTTTATGACAAGCGTTGTTCGCTTTGCATTGTATCGTATTGGAATTACCCACAGGTACCAGATTAAACTAAATTAAAAACTCATTTCCCAGGCTGCACACACTTCAAAATCGGCACGTCTCCGCAGGCTGCACAATTTTTCCTTGTGGGGCACAGGTTGCACACCCCTGCTATAAGCCATAGAAAATCTTAGCTTGAAAACATATCATCATCATCATAAACTACGAGCGCTCTTTTTTCTCTGCGATTTGTAGGACCTTTATCACTTTGGGCAACGACTAAAGGAGCCCATAACGATGAAGACATTGCAGATTCCAGCATTTTTTGTCGCCTGGCAAGAGATACTTTCAATCTTGTTCCTTCAACCATCGCATCATTCATTTTATCAATGGCAACATCCGCTGCTTCTAGGGAGTTGTACGTTATGAAAGCACTCCGTGCATTTTGTTCAATGTCTATTTTAATAATTTTTCCAAAACCTTGGAAATGACTTTCAAGCAGTTTTTCTGTTAAATCACAACCATGAATATAAATTGTGTTCCCTTTTCTTGGTGCATGTCTCTCAAATTTACGTTCCCTTTTTACTTTTTTGGGGCTTTCTTTGCGATTTTGCACAATTTTTTTTGGTTGATTGTTATTGCTCTCAATAGCGTTAGACTGATCTTTTAGTGACATATCATCACCTTGGTCTGATGAACTGCCCGTTCCACTGCAAGGACTGAATGGCTGAAAAACAGGTTTTTTCATCACTTCGTCTCGTTTTTTCTTGGATAACGAGCGTTTAAAGGTAGTTTTTGTTTTAACTTTGACCTGTATTGCACCCGATTTAATAAGTTTTTTAGCAGCTTCAGTATTAGCTGCAGCGTTTAAAGAAACGTTTTTGATATTAGCAACAGCGTCTTTTCGCTCTGGAATATTACACTTCAATATTGAGTCTGATGTAGACTTCATAAGCCCCTTTTTCTGTTTAGCCTTTGTTGGGCCATTTTCTGCAGCTTCATTTTCCTGTTGTTTGCGCTTCATACGAAGCTGCTGTAACTCTTTCTTCTTCTTACGTAGTACAGTATATTTTTTCTTTAAAAATTCTTCTTCATCCGTTAGCTTTGAAGAAAATGTCATAATGAAGTCTTTATTTTAAGATCTAAATTAAGACATAATCGTTACATTTGAATATATGTATAAACTAAATGCAGTTTGGTAAAGACACAAATGAGGGAAATTGCTGTCCCTATTGGAATACGTTGAGTGAGGATTACAAAAGCAAATATATATAACTTGATATCATCTTATATCAGTTTCAATACAAATGATATTCATTAGGTAAGCTCACAATCAAATGATATGACCTTGGATTCAATTTGCATGAAATAAGAATTTTGACCGAGTAAAGTACTTATGACATAAATCATGATCTTATCTGCCTAAAATAATAGCCAACGATTAATTTTTCTAATGGAGGACAGAAACAAATTAAAAATTGTAGAAGCATATTGTTATATACTGAATGTTTTTTGATTGAAAAAAAAAATAGATATATTACAAGCAAACATTGTCTGACAGGATTTGAAAAAACTGTAATCAAAAAAAGAATGAAGTTCAAGTCTATTTTTGATTTTCGATTAAAACAAATATGAAATAATAGTTTTTTATAATTGGATACAACAATAACAAAGACAGCCAGATGTCAAAAACTACATTAGAAAAATAATTAGGCGCAGGTAACATTGTTTATAACAGATAATAATACCATTATAGTTTATATGACATTCAGGTAAAATATATAATTAAAACTAGATTGAATTAGCCAACCGAGCTTTGATACAGCCATAGTTATTTATTAATAAATGATGCAACTATCTCGCCTAAGTAAAGTGATTGTTAACATTGAGAAGCAAAATAGCAAGAACATGTTTAGCCCGCTAGTTGGTGTTCATGTCATAGTATAGTATAATATAATCTTGCGTGGATATATTATTGTGACTCATGCTTATTTACAAATATTTCACTTTCAAGATGCATTAGTATGTTTTCACAATACTCAATGTCAAAAAAACACTTGGTGATTGGATTAGTCCTATAAAGGCATGAACTTCGGCAGCATCACAATAAAGAATATATTCTTTGGCAATTGCAGTAATTTACTCTGTAATAAGCTCCACATAATTAGCTGGAAAAAGTCCATACTTTCCATCTGGTGTTGAACCTCTCCACCATCCTTCATCAATCATTTCAATGTTAGTGATGATATCGTCTGGATCAAAAGTAATCTCGGAATCATCAGCAGCTTGATAATCATAAAGAGCTCTTGCTGAATGTGGACTTTTAATATCTTCATCATTACTTTCCCCAGGATTTTCTCCTACTGCATCATATATATTATCTTGTGCCCCTTGACCTTCGTCCTGTTGATTATGGCCCACTGCATCATAAACATTATCGGAAGTTTTATGACCTCCTGCTGCTTCTGGAGCAGATTCCAAACGCTCGACATAATTGAGAGGAAAAAGTCCAGAGCGTCCATCAGGGGCCACACCTCTTCCCCATGCCTCGTCCATATCTTCAATATCAGTGATAATATCATTGGGATCAAAACTGATCTCGGTCTCATCAACAGCTTGATAATCATAAATAGCTCTTGCTGAATATCCACTCTTATTTGCTTCCGCATCATATTTTGTGGGTTCCTGCTTATTGTCCACAATATTGTTATCGTTATTCCGAGTTTCTTCTTCGAATGTTTCATATTCTGGTTCTTCAACATCAGCCGGTTGATATGTTTCAATTGGTCTTTCGCCTTGTTTCGAGGGCTGCCTTTGAATAACAGGTTGACTTGAAGGAGTCGCTTCATTTATTTTTTGTTCCCATAAAGCACGCATATTTGTGTCTCGTTGTTGCACAAGATGCGCTGCTTCAGCTGCTTTCTCTATAGATTCACTTCTTTTTCTTCCCCGTTCTTCATGTGCTTCAAATTCACGTTGTTCTGCTTCCCATTTTTCTTTCTCTCTTTTACGAACATCAGCAGTGTCATCAGTAAGTTTTGCAGCTCTTACTTTCTCACTAATTTCTTTTTCTCTTTCTTTTTCCCAATTTTGTCTTCTCATGCTTGACTCTTTTTCCCTTTCGCGAACTTCTTGAGCATATCTATTTTTCTCTTCTTGCGCCTTTCTCAATTCTTGTTTTTTCCTTTGCTCTTCTTCCCTTTCTTGCTTTTCCCAATAATTCTCATTTCTTTTGGAACTTATTTCTGCACCAGGATTTATCTTTTTATATACTGACCCAACAGGCTCAGATGGATCATCATATGAACCTTTTGTCTTGTCAAATGCATATGTAGACGCGGATGCACGATTAATATGCTCCATGATTTGCTCTGGGGTAACATCATCCTCGTTTCGAGCATTGATAGTAATGTGAGCTCCTTTAAAAAATCTTTCCACATCCCTAACATGGTTGGCACAAGCACCTTTCCTATTTGCAGGAGCACCTTCACCTTGCCAATGCAAAAATATGAACTTGTTGAGAGAAGTTTTTGGATCTTTAACTCGAATAAAAGCATACATGATCTTGGAACTATTAAATTCAGTTTCTAATTCTTCCAAGCCATCTTCTCCAGTACCTGCCACCTTCAATTCATTATCTTTACCTTCATACGTGAAAAGAGCCCAATCTGTGTCCGATTTTTCATCAAGAACCTCTTTGTAGGCATTGATTAACGCCTGTTTGTGTTTAAAAAAACTGACACTCATTTTTAATAAACAGCTGGATGAAATAACAATGCAACACTTATTTTTGGTACACATACCGGTATATATATTACTGTATTATATACAATCCAAATTCAAAGCTGAAATCCAGTCACGCTACTGCACTATTTTTGATATTAAATGTTATATTAGAATTTATTTATCACTCGATACAACATGTTATATTATCGAAGTAGAATGTGTGAAGAGGCAAAATAAAAGCTTAATCAAAACAGCCATATGAGATTCTAGGATTCAGAAATCGCAGCATTGGGCTGGTGTGTGTCTAATACAAGACTTTGTTGGTGCCATAGTCACAGCAAGTGCAGAAGTGTCAGTACTTGAAATGAGTCAAAACTTTTTATGCAGTTGATGAGAAAATCCAAATCAGTATATACCGGGGGTCTAGTATAGTTTAGTACCACAAGTACTTCCAGTGGGCGTAGCATAACGATTTTTGCATATGTTATTTCTAACCCTCACCTGACTATGCCATCCAAAAATTACGTCACTACGACGTCACCATCACGTCATAGGGATTGCCAAAGTATAATTACGATCGCCCGAAATGGCATCTGCGCCGCCGATAAGAACTTGCTAAAGCCGGCGATCTCTCTCCTATCGTGATCGTTGCGACGAGAAAACGAGAGAAATAGCTTGCTCGATTTCGGGTTATCGTCTGCGCGTTTTGGATGACCATCCGCATATATCGGTGGGCCTTATTACAGTATTACGCCACTGTGACACCGGAATGACGTAATTTTTCGGTGACGTAGTCAGGTGGGGGTTAGGATTGACATAGGATAGGATAGGATTTACATATTTATCCCGGGGGAGAGGAAAGCCGATAAGACGGCTTATCCATATGGCGAACCACGGCCTCTCGTCCGGTTACCATTCCAAGTCGGGTATGGGATTAGTTTTTACTGTATTGTTTGTTTTCGGAAGCATGGACTTGGTGGTGGAGGAAGCCGTAACCGACCAGCGGTTACGTGAACCACCCAACGACGGCGAGGAGTCCAGCAATCCTCTTGCACATAACCATCCCTGCATGGGATTCGAACCTGCGAACCCACGCAGAGTAGTTAGAGGTGCGGTGGCGAGCGTATTCCTAACGCTTAGCCCGTTGAGCCACACCGCCGCGCCTATGCAAAAATTGTTGAGCCAGGCCAACTAGAAGTGAATGTGGTACTAAACTATACCAGACCCTATACCGGTACCTGACTACCTGTTATGGTCACCCTAATATTACAGTATTGGGGCTTCTTATCCCAGCATACATCTCACCATTTTCCCAACACTCAAGACACTAGGATTAAACTGGTTGATTCAGTACCGCGAATACAGTAGTCTACTGCTGTAATATTAGTTGCATTGATAGATGATGAGGTTTATTTTGAACCCCGTCGTAGTAACCGTACCGGTACAAAAATCGCAACACACAACTACACATTTACACAATCAAAGTCCAGAAGTCGGGCGGAGAATGTATATTGACCATCGGACTAAAGCAATCCTGTTTCTTCAATATTAAAACGATATTATATTACCGGTACTGTATTACCGGTCCCGATATTTATTACGGTATTATATTATATATACTGATATATCACTGTATTACCGGCACCGATATTTATCACGGTATTATATTGTATTACCGGCACCAATATTTATCACGGCATCTCAGATTCAAACCCTACGTACGCTCAGGCGCTTGTGAATTTCGGCCACATTTTAGAGCTAAGTGAGTGTTTTGGAATCAGTAATCAGTAGTTTATTTTCTCACCATACTGAAAGCACACTTGACAACAGCAATTTTTACTCCATAAGTCAATATACTAATATATCGGTACCTTACAGACTTCTCGTTCACCAGTTACGGGTACAATACCGGTATCTATTTCCCAGATTATAAACCATCTAGCTACCTGAGCACAGCCGACGCCATTACTGAACAAGATTAATTTAATTATTATCGCACTTGTTCTTTGTAAAGCGTGTGTGTAAAAAAGGATGCGAGATGTTACAACTAATTATGATGAATAAAAGTATAAAAATGAAGTTTCACAAGCACAAGTTTATTGTTTGAACCAATAAGCCTGAGGAATTCCTGATAGATGTTCAAAATTTGACATTTATGAACAATTAACGAAATTCGCAAATGAAGTTACTGGTAAATTTATTCATGCAGGTCAATTTATAATAAATCTGAAATTCAACGCGTTATGTGTAATTTCGTGTACTATGTACCCTTACTAGCCACCACATACCAAAATCCATTTTAAACTGGCAATGCACAATATAGACGTGTTCATATATATCAGACCAATGACTTCCCAACCCACCATGCACTTCCTGAATAGAGCATGAACGAATCAAGACTACAACATGAGTGGGCTGAAGTAATCAAAACGATTGTGTACTATTTTAAAATTCCGTTAGAAATATCATGATGGGACTGTTATTTGCTATGATTGACCATAAATGTAAAGTGTCAACATGATGTCAGGGACCAAGATTTTGATTTGTCACGTACACGGCCTGGAGGGCAAAGAAAGAAATCTCGTGGACAACCCTGTAACGACCTCCTCAAACATGCTTTGCAAGAAAATGAAGTATATATACCGATAATCATAACTCTCTACAACTGTGATTGGCATTGCAGTTAGCGTCCTGAAGCTTTTTACAATTGGTTTTTATGGTACAGTAAATGAATTTCAAAAATTACATCTTTATTATTTAGTCACTGCAGTTCGTCCCGATACATCCAACGTAATGATCTTGGTATCACGGCCAGCAAATATATAAGATTTAGGCTACAGTGTTTCCCTGAAAATAAGACCTAGTCAATAACGCGAATTTTTTTTTACCTGGTCGATAGCAAGAAATCTCTCCCATACGTTTGAAATGATTATTCTAAAACGTGTGAGAGAGGAAAACGTGTCAATTAAATAAATGGATATCGGTTTTAATATTTTAAAATCCCCTATTTCTGTACTTTCTAATTTTGTTTTTGATAAATGAAATTATAAGACATCCCCCGAAAATAAGCCCTAGTGTTATTCTTTGAAAGAAAATTGAAATAAGACACTGTCTTATTTTCGGGGAAACACGGTAAGGGACAAAATACCTGTCAGCAGTTGCGTTGTTTCAAGCATAACTCACATAGCCCAAGTATGAATTCGTCGGGAGTTATTTTGTATAACCACGGGAATAATAAACACACACTATATAAAGTTGTTGGGTTACCGTACATTTGAACCCACGACAATTGCACCTGCATACTATTGCACCTATGGATTTTTTTCTGTTCTGCGGATATTTGAACCCATACTAACCCCAACCCATGGGTTTTAGCACCCGCATAGATTGAACCCGCGGATATACACATGGGTTGAAATGTACGGTGACCAAGTTGTTGATGGTTTAGTACTTTAGTTGATCGTTGACATTGTTTTCAAGCTTTATATGTTAATGTGTATTCTGGATTGCCGTTCTATTTACATCGCTATCACCGAGGAGTATAATATACTATACATATTATGTAAAAAGGACGACGTGACAAAGTCAGACCCAGATGCGTAAACCATTATTTTCAAAATATCAAAAAGGAATACGATCAACAATGCATCCAAAATTTGCACGGAAGTAGTTTAATTATTATTTTTGTAAAATATATATATCATGTACAACAAGATGGGCCATGTTGTAGGCCTATGTGATTACAATGGGTAAAATGAAAAGATCCACAATAACAAATATCAGAGTTTAAAGAAGGGATTCTGGAAAATTTAGGATTGAATATGTTTGAAGTTCAATCTGGCATTTATTAATAATTTCCGAAAGGGACTTTCAAAGCCATTCATGCAGATTAATTTATACCAAAATTGAAATAGGCTACACCATGTTATGCTCGAATTCGAAAACTGCGTACCCGTACTACATCTCTGAATCCATAGCAAACGGTTTACATGTATCAGATCAATAGCTTCCCAAACCACCATGCATTTCCTGAATGTGGACGCACAACACATTAAATGGATCATGACTGCATGAGTGGGCTGGAGCAATCAAAATTGTGTACTATAATGAAATCCCGTTAAAAATACTATAATATGAGTGTAACTTGGTATTTGTTTTCTATGATCCGCTTTATATGCAATGTGTGACAACAAGATATCGAGAAGCTTTTTTTGCTTCGTCGTTTACTTTACACCACCGAGTGGCAAAATTTCCAAACGTTTTTTGAGTGTTCACTTTGCACTGACTGTCAAGTTTCTATTAGCATGTACTTAATCTTATGTAACGAACAATATCGGCAATATTTTCAGGATATCGGCATTGGCAAAAATGACTCACATTTCCAATATCTTTAACCGTCCGACCCCATCAAAGATGTTTTACCAGAAGAAAAACATAATACGTTAAATATAACAAAAAAAGAGAAAATACGGTCCTTCAGAAACAGCTACATTTAACCCCAAATTTAGCGATGATTCTCTTTTGGCGCTAACATTTGGCGCTCTATTTTGGTTATAAATACCTACTCAAACATTTCTCCAATCAAATAAGGGTTATTATCATATATTTGCCGGAATCGAACAAAAAACTTTGAATATATATAATAAAAAACGTAAATTAAACGAAATTTTCTCGAAAACGGCTATTTTTACCTAAAACTCAACAGCCATGATCATCATTTGGGCCTCATACAAATTTGGATAGGAATGAACAACTTTAACTTTTTTCAATTAAATAGGGAAAGAAGTTATAATATACTAACAATTTTAATTTATTTTACTACAAGAAAACTCTTGGCAGATTTGATAACATGCGGCTTCATAAAAAACGCAACGTTGAGTTTATTGGTGAAATGTAAGCAGACTTGATAAAACGTGTTTGATTGTGAGTAAGCTTAGGATACTTAGATAAGTAGTGAGAAATATTTTGGGTATGGATATGGATAAATTTAACCGTAATTCCCGTTTATTTCAACAATGTGTGTTTTTTTAATTTTAGTTTGTTCAAATATGTTT